ATTTCTATGAGAGGGTTATGATGTGGGGATATTAAAATCTAATGAAACCCTTTATTTTAATGTCCATTTTCCCTTACAAAGGGTGAACATTTGGTACAAAAAAAATCCTTTACATCCACAATGATATAGCAACAAAGACACTTGTATTTCATTCTACGCTTACTCACAAAACCATAATTCTTCCGAAAAATATGGACGAGAAACTTCTGCTTTGATACCTTCTTCAAAACTGTACAATTGTTTAAAATAAATTGTAAAATTATGTGTACATGCTTTCTTTTCTTGAATTACTTTAAACATTTAGTTAATGTATGTCCACAATAATTTATGAAATGTTGTGACATTTGCGCTAGGGGTGTCAAATTTGACAGACATGTCACATTACAAATGCTCATTATTATTTGATAACAAATGTACATGTCAACCTACTGTTCAGAGACAAAAGGGCATTAAGTATGTGTTGAAGTACAGTAGATATGTGGTCAAAAGAGAAGAAAATCAAGTTATTTTGAAATATAATACCTTGCCCAGATCTGATGACAATCGGCCTCTTCTATATGACTACTATCAAGCGTCGTCCTCTCGTACAGGATAACCTTGACCTAGAAATGGTAAGGAAGAAAAATAACCATTGAAACAAATATTTGTAGGTATAGCATTTACTGATTACATTTATAAATTTCACTTATAGTGTCTGTAAGCTCTGAAACCCTTTTTGTCAGATTTCATTGATTCTAAATAAATAACGTGCATGTGTACTCACAATCTTATAAACTGCTGCAAAGTTTTTCTACTTCTAACTGGAGTGACATCAATGACAAATATGGCCGGCTTGATTTTATCTTGCAGTTACGATCTCTCACTTCCCCTACCTGCTGCAATCCGAGGATGGTGTGATCCAGACATCGCTAGGCTCAGTCTGATTTTTTGCCGGGGTATAACACATTCAGGGATTTCGCCATCTACGGCTTGCAGCAAGTACAAGGAAATCGTGTTGATGGAGATCGTTGAAATTAAAGTTGCTACACTCTAGACTTTAATATGTGGGAACTCATCTATATGAACGTGTACTTGCATAACCATAAGATGAAGAGGATCAATTTGCATTTCCTTATCATTCTGACCCATGCTATAACTGCACAATAAACAGTACATACATCATCCATATATTATATACACACATTTAACAACCAAATTAGTAATAATCTCACCAGGTTTTGTTCCTGATTTATATTTCTTGAGAATATGGCATATTAAAGTAAGTATCGAATTGGCAACTGATGTGGAAGGGGTGATTTCGGACGCATTTAAGATTTTGTGTACCTGCCTTTCCACGCAGGGATATTGGTGCAGGTTAAGGCGAAGTGGTATCAATATCATATATCATATTGTACATTATCACTAATAATGAAAAGGAACGAGATATCTATGTGCGGCTAGTGTACAACATTTTAAAGGTTTTATTTCAACATTAACTGCATATGAAAAGTATTTACAAACTAACGCATATACAATGTAACGAAACATATAAATATATTCGATGGATAAGTGGTATTAAAACAATACAAACGATTGTATGCACGTCCTGGTATGTCATTTTATTAAATAAAAAGGATGCTAACTTAATCTACAGTAATGAGAAGGAAATCATATAAGCATTATGCTTGTGTCTCAGAGAAGCGTAAGTACATGAAAATCCAAAACGCAAAAATTGGTCCTTTTCTCTGCGTGTGTGTGTGTGTGTGTGTGTGTGTGAAATGGTTGTGACAATATGGTTTGTTCGTGATAAATAACTATGATATCTTCTGCAAATTGTATTCATCAAGAGATCAAGGTCATAGAGATTGATCTATAATGTTATGAAAAGATATAAATGAATCCATCAAGAATAAATATCATTTTCACAATTATTTGTTCGAGCTTTATAGGCAACATGAATACCTCAGTCACATCGCCAAATCAACTCCATACCGATTTCAAACCAACCGATTCTGGGCCATACGGTTTAGTGTAAAATTGTGTAGCTTTTGTCCGGTTTGGTGTCAGTTTTGTCAGCTTAACTGGGGCATATCTCTGACGAATAAACATCAATGCCCGTGTCACAGCTGAGTGATTTGAATTAATCGCTGAAGTTCCTTTTAGGGAAGGCCTAACAAAGGAAGAAAAGAATAAGTAAGTTTCCCTCCTATTTTTTAAATTGTATGCGATTTCATAAATTTATGTTGACATCATTACCAAATTTAGATTCGGCGACAATATATCGAAAGAGAATATTTTCTTAGGTTATGCTTGATTGACTGTTATAAAAGCGACATCATATTTATTGTCTCAATTGGTTGAACGAGGTTAAATTATAATGAGTCAGAAAACGGAACAAAGTGTCTAAATATTCGGCTTCAGAATTCGAACAATCAATACACCGGACTTGGTTTTGTGCGTCATAATTTTAACCACAATGCAAAACAAAAATACATTTTGTGATTTTGCATACACTTCCTATTAAACTATGGGGAATAGTAAATAATCGGATACCGAATGGATGGGTCATTCCACAGATTTAACATAGATTGTAAAGGGTATCATATACGTGGATAAAGTCTGGCTGTCTCTTTCCCTCAGTGTCCTCGACCCTCTGCATTTTGTCTCTAGTTGTTACAATTCCATCCGTCTTCCTCTCTATTTCCCCGTATTTTTTACAACCTCCTTTCATTTTCATTCTTATTCCCCCCGTATCCCCCTTTCTGTTTCTCTTACTCCGTATCGCAGACCTTTTCTCCTTCTCCCTCTCATTCTCTCTCTCTCACCCTCCATCTCTTCAAAATCTTTCTAAAATTATATTTCCCACTGTTCTTCTCTCTCTCTCTGTCTCCTTCTTCTCTCAACCCTCCCTTCTCTCTCCCTTTTGCCCCTCCACTCTCTACCTTCTTTTTTGTACACTCTTTCTAAGTTTATTTTTTTCCATGTTTACTTTATCTCTCCACCCTCTCTCTTCTCCTTTCTCTCTATACTTCCTCTTCTTTCTCACTCACTCTCTCCCTCCTTTTAATCTGTAAACTCTTTCTAAGATCATATACTTCCCTTCTTTCACTCTCTCTCTCTCTCTCTTTCTCATTCTCCCCTCCTTTTTCTCTCTTAATAAGGCTCAATATTTTTTCTTTGACATACAGAGGTCAAGTGAAATTATAAATTCAAAAGATTTCCAAATCATCTCACCCCCACTTCCCCTTGTCTACTGACACGAAATCTTAACCGATGTCAAAAAACATACCCGGGCACCTAGATCAAAATAATCATAATGTATCCGTCACCTTAAATTATGTATTTTTGGTAGCAGTAATTCTTGTTTCATTAATTACATGTCGACTTTGACCACGTGTCACTATATACATACAACAGAAGAACAAAAGAAAACGTTAAAAAACATATTCTTCAGAGCATGTAGTATCTTCGTTTTAATTCTGAGTATAATTCTAGCCCAAACACCAAACCAACAATGTCAAAATCGAAAAGTTCCATGAATGAGTATATCTATCCCTTATTCCCCTTACCGACGGCTACAATAAAAACCAAAATTAAAAAGCTGAATGTAAAGCATCAGATCAAGTTGTGCGATATTATAATCATGAATATTATTGAATCTAAAAAATTAAAATGGTTCCTCACACTTGAGTATCAAGTCTGACAGGCATGAGCGCTATACAAAAAAAAATCTACTATTAATATTACAATTTTCACCACTATTATTGTTAACATTATAGTTGTTATGATTACTATTATGAATATTATCATCTTTATCATCATCGTCATCATCATTAAATCTAGTGATGATTTTCCAATTTGTTACACACAAACTTGTTATGTATATTTTATGTTTCAATGTTGTATGTTAATATGTAATATGTAATATGTCTTCAGTGCATAGTTTATGTTGTCCTGTACATTGTTCTTCAAATTAAAACATGTAACCTGTACTTATTTTTGTGTTCCCATTTGTGTTTGAGGAATATATGAATATATACATGTCAAAATAAAGTAAATTTGCAATTTGTAAATTGCAACAAACGGCAATTACTAGATATCATCCACCTAAACATAGAAATACTGTCATTTTATTTGGTCATCCATCAACACATTTAAAAGCAATTTGAAGACAAAAGAGGGTATGAAATCATGACGAAGTCAAACGAATCAAAATATAGAATCATTAATAGCTTAATTAATTGCCCTCTTAAACCTTTCAGTTTGAGATTCAATCATAGGCCAAAAACTGCAGTTACTACAAAAATTATGTCTACGTATATATGCTAAATCTCAGGGCCAACGACCCTTTTCAGGAGTTGTCAACAATTACAGGAATGTTGCATCATTCCTCACGACCATTTCATTAAATAATATCTCGATGAAAATAAAGGATCAACAACACTAGGTATTAATATACAAAAAGAAAGCGACTTAGCGCTAAAAAGAAGGATTATTCCCCGGATTATTCATAAAAGAGTCATTTCGTCATTAGAGAAAACTAAAGCAAGTCATGAGCTTATTATTCGTTTAAGTTCATAACCACAAATAAACTTACTCCTAACAGGATAACCATTAGTCACTTATGGTCCAGTCATGTAGATAATGATTTCAGAATCCAGTATCAGTTATAACCAAGTAGCTTGTTTTATCATATAACGATTTCGTTTAATGAAATGATACCCAAAAGAAAGGGACTGTGATGTCTCGTCTCGTTCATATTGGTTATTAAAAGGAATATAAATACCCTCAGTTGGAATATTCCATTAATCACGTCTTTGATAGTACAACAATAGGCTAACGTGATTTTGTTTTTGAGAATTATGTTTCTAATCAACGGGTTTAACGGGACTCCAGCATTATACAGTCAAACCTGCTTTAGTGACCACCTGTCTACGAAGATCACCTGTCTACAAAGACCACATTTTATGTTTCCCTTGAAAATATTTTCTCATTGAAACATGTACTAAAGGAACCTGTCTAGAAAGACAACTTTTTGTGTTTCCCTTTGGCAGTTGCTATAAACAGGTTTGACTGTACATACTTTTAATAAATCTATAAGGTAATTCTCTTTGTTATGATAATCTACATGACTGTCTTCAATAAATATTTCAAGTGTATATCTTGATGTAATTCGATTTTTGTAAAAGACTTGAAATCTATTTGATTGACATTCTATATGATACAAACTTCATAGGCCGGACCAACATCTTCCTTACCGTCAAAGGACTTCGTTGGATCACCACCCTTCTCGATCTTAGAGAAATCAAGATCAGTATATTCCTTACCAGAGGACGTCGGCTTCGTCGGATCACCGCCCTTCTTGCCCTGAGAGAAATCAAGGTCAGTATATTCCTTATTATCATCGAAGGACGGATTCTCATAATCATGGTCGTTTTCCGACGTCGACCTCGTCTTGGTCAAGGAGATTCCCTGACTCGTTCCTTGGTTCGCACGGGTGCTCGATTTCGAAGAGTCCTGCCCGCAACCGCACACCTTGGCCCAGTACGCGCGCACTACTGGGTTCCTCGCGCAGTAGAGGATGAAGATGTAGAAGCCTTGGAGAGAGTTGAAGACAATGAAGAGAGTTTGGGTGACCTGACTTGTGGTGTCAATCAGGGTCAGGTAGCCCGTGACCCAGGTCAAGCCGAGGAGAAGGAGGACGCTGACCGCGTTCTTGATTCGCTCGATAGATGCCTTGCGGTTGGTCCCGGCCGCGTCGCTATTAGAGGCGACGTTGGCCGACTTGATCAAGCGGCGAACGACCAAGCTGAAGATGACGATGTTGGCAAGGAGGATGATCGCTATTGGGATGAGGAGTCCACCGACCGATGGCCACTTCTGAAGAAAACAGCTGGATAATAAACAAGATTGAAATTGAAATTTACACCTATCTCCTTCATAAAATTGTAAATCATACATTCATCCTGAATATAATTATTGTAAATGTGTTCTTACGTACATTTTCCAAATGTATGCAACAAATATATTCCGTCGTCAATAACTGATGCTGTGTTCTTAATGTTTGCAAATTTGCTTTCAAGAGGAAAGGTAGGGGGTAGAGGGAGGGGTAGGAGGTCAATGACCGGTTGTTCCCTAACTGTGCCCTTGCATCTTTTGTCACAATAGTAGATCTTATCTATCAATGTTCCTTTTAAGAACGTTTTCGAGTATTTTCTTAGTGTAGCTTACTAGTCTGTTGCTGCATAGTTTCCTTGGGATGCCATGCCGGTCAAGAGGACGACTAGACCACTGACTCCTGCCATGGTATCAGAATGGAGAAACGTTTAAGAGAGAGAGAGAGAAAGGGGGAGAGGGGGATAGAGAGGGTGGACAGGGGTAAATAGGAAAGAGAGAGAGAAAAAAAATCATTAGTAAGTTGGGATACAATTTTCCTCCCTTTTACTGTCTGAAGGACTTAAACCTGAATAAATGGTTGACGACTTGTAAATACCATGACATTTGAGTTGGTCTAATTATCTTCATTTGATTAAAGCCCTTCACAATTTATTATGAATTACACTTTTAGTTTTTAGAAACTGAATAGACCAATAATTAACCAATTTCGTGAACATTGATGTTGCCATTGTTGTTACTTTCTAACAGGAAAGTAACTCTACTTGTATCTACCATGATACTAAAATATGACAGTATGAATAAATTAAACAAGGGTTATATGTAGAAAGTATTCATTGCATCACAACTTATCATCGTTAAATACAGGTTCAAAATATCTGAAACTGAAAGAAATCTCTAAACATGATATTGCTATTGGACTGGAAAAAACAAAAGGAGGTGTGAAATTAAAAATGGAGGAAAACAAAAGACAGATGGCTCCATTAAGGAGGGCAAAGGAAGGAGCGATTTCTAAGACTCGTCTTCAAATATATTATACTGAACAGACTTCCCTGAATAAAGGAGTGAAATAAATTTAAAAATAATAGCAAAAAATAGGCAAATTACGGAAGAACTGGGAAATGAAGGATACAAACATTGCTACAATGATGTGAGAATCCAGTAATCATTTAGAGGAGGGGATAGCGCCCCCAAACACTTCACTCCCCCTTTCTGATAGCTGCCCTATGTTATCAAACCAAGCATAGAGAAGGACACTCACCCCATGCCACGATGCTGGCTTTGAGCATGAAACGAGGAATGTAAGCATCGAAGACGCGCACGACAATGAGATAGGTGTTGATTCCCTCAACGCCCATCCAGGCCATAGAGGATAGGGTGAAGAAGTGAACGAGAGCGGCGAGGATGCCGCAAGGGACGGGAGTGACCTCGGGGTAGTCGGGATGACGGTCCAATGCGCTCATGATGAGGAAGGTGAGGTATAGACCGAGGAGGGTACCGCAGAGACACATGAAGATCTTCTGCGACTGGTGGACGTGGAGGTTTCTGTCAAAATATAAATATTAAACAAATATACAATCAATTGAAAACAAAAGCAAATAAACAAACACGAAACACATTGTTCAGCAGCAGCAATTCAAGTATATGAATATACGAAATTAGAAACTTGCAGCAAGATAAATTTAAATTACGACAACAATCATTTTATATTTACCAAATGCATGCTTTGAATGTTAACAAATGTATATTTAATTGTCATGCCATTATTTTATGTAACTTTAATAAACGTATTGGTAGCAATTTAACTACAACCAAATACAACTACCTACAGGACAACTGCTCCCAGAGAAAAACCACTCCCCAAACCATTAGTCTAACTAGGGGATAGTTGTCCGGAATTAACCTGATCAATATATCTGGATGCCGTTGTACTTGAGAATTAGTTACTGTAATTGTTTTGATAGCCCAACAGGCAGTTGTCCTAGATCTTAGATACAAACATTACATCTCATTGAAGGATTCTCCTTTGATATTATATGACGGTTTACATTGTTCAAATGGTTGAGACCGCGGGTAATGATGTATGTGAAGAAGAAAAAAAAGGAAATAACACAATTTACACCATTTTCCTAAATGCAAAACAAACCAAATTGCGACTTTATCACGTCTTTCGAAATTACTCAAGAACCTTAATCATTCGTATTGTGTACTTACTTGTTTGATAGATAGGTGATTAGTATAATGACTAAACACACAATGGAGATGGCACAACCGATGATACTAATAATCCGTAACGCCTCAACACGTTCAGCATATATATCCTAAACAAAACAAGACAAAACAAACGAATATTATGAATGATAGCAATCAACAACAAGAACACCAGAAACAACCACAATAGCAACAGCAACAGCAATAACAGCAACAACACCAATTATAGTAAAAATGGTGATGATAATCATGATGAGGATGCTAATAATGGTAAAAATGTTTTGAAAACACAATAAAAGCACATTGATTTGCAGTATTTATTGTGAGAAGATAATTAGCTTAGTACTAAGCATGTTGAATAATTATTAATACTAGGTCCATATCCTCAACTCATAATATTAGTTTTAATCTACCATACGATGTGAACATGTTTCTAGTATACGATACAGAAAAATGTTACAATTCAATCATAATTAAGGTTATCAAAATTATTCCAGTGCAGCTCATATGTGTGATACCTAAAAAATGCTACTAATAATACTTTTTTTCGCAATGAATACTTCGTTAACCTTCGCCGTTAACATAATACGTTTACCTTTCCACGTGTCTCCAACAGTTGATTAATTCTGTTTTGTTTGAAAGAGGAGGTGTACCCTCTTTCTGAGTGCAACTTACCATCAATACCGCGAAATTCGTCAGATGATCACAGCTGCATGTAATTTCTGATCCTGATGACGCAATCTGACGACATCCTCTCCCTGACCAATCAAGTGTGTCCTCGAAGTCCCAGAACACACATTCGGGATTTTGAAAGTCAGACTTCAAGCATAATCATTTGGAAGATAAAGCTATTTATTAAACATAGTCGCACAGACTTATGAGAAATCAACCCAAGACCGATTTCTATACGTTAATGTATTGCTCGGAAAATCTAACATTGTAATGTTAGATTGAAAAAGGGGGAGTGGCGTCAAAGAGTGAACTCCACATGGGATTCGGCCATCATGAGATGATGATCAATCATGGTGATAAATGTTTGCACATTTTCAAAGGGTGTCACACGAGGTTATTGAAATTGACTGAGGTTGATTTCTAAAATTCTTCGAGATCGTGTAAGTTATAGAAATTCATCTATACCTGATACATTATCATAATGTTTCCATTGCTTGCCAATAATTTCTGTTACCCCTAATCAAATGTGCTGGTACTTTCGAGGAGTGATAAAAAGGGATCACTCCATTTTTAGTGGAATCCACTATCAAAAGAGTGATTTAACCAATACCCTAGAGTAGATTCAATCAAAATTTGGAGTGTTATCTAGTTCATAGGAAATGATTTTTAATATGCTTTCTAAGAAAGTGTATTTCCAGTCCTCTACATTGAATAGATGATAGTTTCCTAGATAATAAAGATCAGAGGTATATCCAAGGCTGTCAGAAAGCATGAATGATAGGAATAGGGCAAGTATGATAGAATAGAAACAATGAATATCAACAGCCTTTCACACCATTTTTCGTTTTGTCTAAACCTAACTAATCGCAAGTAAAAACAAATCATGTAAAACTTCTACTTAATCGTTGATGGAAAACGGGGAAAGTTGATCATAGGTCTCTTGGACAGTGTAGTTTTACGAGAAAGATGTGCCTCTCCTTGTATTTCTTCGTATCCGGACATCCACCTCGAATAACCACCCCAGTCACCAACCCCCTAGGACAACTACCCCCTAGGACAGCCATCCTCAATGACGACTTCCTCCAAGGACAACTACCCCGGACAACTCCCCCCAGACAACTACCCCCTAGGACAACTACCCCCGGGCAACTACCCCCAGTCAACTACCCCCTTTGGATAGATGTCCCGGGGATAGTTGTCTGGGGGTAATTGTCCAGGGTAAGTTATCAGGGGGTAGTTGTCCTAGGGGGAACTTGTCCTATGGGGTTGTTGACTGGGGGTGGTTATCCGGGGATGGATGTCAAGGGGGAAGTTGTCCTAGGGGGTTGTTGACTGGGGGTGGTTATCCGGGGGTGGATGTCCAGGGGGAAGTGGTCCTAGGGGGTTGTTGACTGGGGTGGTTATCCGGGATGGATGTCCAGGGGGGGGGGAGTTGTCCTAGGGGGTTGTTGGCTCGGGGTGATTATCCGGGAGTAGTTGCCCTAGGGGGAAGTTGTCCTAGGGGGTTGTTGACTGGGGGTGGTTATCCGGGGTGGATGTCCAGGGGGAAGGTGTCCTAGAACCGTATTTCTTACCTGAATAGGTTTATACTTAAATATGATGTTCTCCGCCAAAGTCGTCATCTTCCGTCCCGCGAGCGTCAAACCCATAACCAGTGAGTTCACGGTCCGGTTGAAACTGCTCTGCCCGGCGTTGGTGTCTCGGATACGCTGCGAAGAGAACAATGACGGTGTCCTGAAAACGCTGAGGGCCACGCGTACCCCTGACTCGCTACCTTCTCCGTTGCTGAGGCTGTTCAGGACGGCAGAGGGAATACTGACACGAGTACCTGTGAGGACCTCTCCCTGGACTAGGCTGTCTCCGGCGTTGAGCGTGATGTCAGTCAGCCTTAGATCGGAGGAGGTGCTGCTAGCGGATACGGTCAACCCCGATAAAAAGTCATCCGGTTCGACACTGGTCACCTGAAACAAAAGAAACCTTATTTAAATGAATCACTTTATGTTATTTTATTAAAATACATTCATACATACTCTATACCCTGGCAACCAATCTAGCTCAGCCAGCATTTCAATACTTCCCCCTTTTGTATATGAATGTACTGTTTTATCCTAGTTTATGTAATTTTTCAAAATGAATAATTTATAAATAATTTTAAAAAATGAATAACATTTAGAACACTATCAAAATCTCAGGGAATAAAGAAAACGTTTATATAAAACAATTGCTTTCCCATGAGTTCAGGAATGATTAGAAATATAATTATACCTGTACAGCTACATTCATCTCCAATGCAGTATAACTTTGTCCATCCGATATGTCCAGATTGTTAAGCTGTTCTTCAAAACTCTCCAAGATTTGAGTGATTGCTCCAGTATTCTCTTCCACCGTGGTAAGCTCGTCTTCATCTTTCCCTGCGAAGTTGCTGATGATGGTTGCAGTAAGAGTAGTGATCTGTTGTAATGATACGATAAAAATAAAAAATAAAAAAATCATTGCATAAAGAAACATGAACTTGCATTAAAATTGTCGTCATTTAGTATAATTATATTCCTAGGTTTTGCATTTCATCGCATTTTCCGTGTAATTGGTAAATTCTCTTTTTGCTTAATACGAAACATAAAACATGGGGCAAACTGAAAAGCGAATCCTTCAATCACTCCAAGTTCTCACCAATAGCATATTTAGAAGGCGTATAAGATAATACTCATCTCTCTCTCTCTCTTTCTCTCTACACACACACACACACCCTCACACACAAACACAAGTACACTTATATTTATTTATAAACACACAAATGACACACACATATATTTATACATGTACGAGTATATAAACATATGTTACTAAAGGCGTCTTTAGAAGGACATTTGGAGTGAAAAGTGCGTCATTAGGAGGACAATAGTTATACATACAAGTTTTAGGGTTACGGTTAGGGTTTAGGGTTACGGTTATTATTTGTATGATGTCACTGTAATATACCCGACAGGCTTTATATATATATATATATATATATATATATATATAATAATCTCATTAGGCATTTTCCTTAGGTTTTTTGTGCCCCTTCCATATATATTCCAAAGTCCAGCATCCACACCTGTTAACCAATATTTTACAATATGTTACTTATTTTACTCACCCCTGGATCGCCACTTTGTAGGGCTGTACTGTTGCTGATGATATTAGCTATGTTGACAATGTCTTCCTCGTCAATATCCATGTCTGTGACCACCACCACGACCTCTAGCACTTCTATCACTGTCTCATTTGTTACTCCTTTCTAAAAATAGAATTATTATTAAAAAAACCATTTTGACAGCTACAGAAAACTTTTAAAAAATACGTTTTAAAAAATTCGATAATTTAAAGACACGTTTTTACTAGTTGATTCGAAATAAATATCCATCTAGATTTCAATTTTGTTTGCTTCCCTTCCTTATCTTTGTTCTTATTTCTTTCTTTGTTTCTTTCATTCTTTGTTCCCTAATTTCCATAATTTTGTTTACCTTTCTTCCTTCCTTCATCCATTCTTTCTTTCTTTCTTTCTGATTGTCATCTTGTATGTTCGCCTCCCGTTACGCATCGTTACATGTTACACAAATTATTTTTGTGTGAATATTTTATTCATGATGATGACGTAAATTCGAGAAGTGTTTATGATGTGAACCTTATATGATACTATACTGTAAACTTATAATGAATGTCTTATTTATGGAAGTAATAACTCATGAAAGCAAATCATATGAAATCAAATGTTTTGCTAATTACAAGAGAAATACTTACCTCAATAATATCGTCGACTACTTCATTTGTTTCCCTTAACGGCCCACAGTCATTCAAATACATGGTGATATTCCAAGCCAATTCTCCAAATGTTGTGCCTTGTGCACACTCTGCACGTCCAATGGGTGTACCGCCTGTATTCAAATTAAAAACATTGATATTAACTGGAATACTGGTTCGGTTTATTTACTAAAAGTGTGTCGAGTTTGATACTGAATTCGCATAACAGCAATATAATGGATGCAACCGTGATTTGTGATGATTGATCTTTGTATTTATAAAAGAGCAGTATTGCATACTCTTTATAGATTGAACCAATATTGATAAAAATGTTGGTAGCTTTGGTAATAAAAGATGGAAAAGGAATGTTGTTTGGTTCGTCAATGAATAATGGCTCTATTATATTGGAATTAGGACTTTTAATACTACAATGACAACAATTGCAATAAGAGAACGGGAGAAGAGCACTGCTATTACTATCACCCGACTTCCACCCTCTAACACACGAGGACAAACTCATATTTAATAGTTCGTATTGTAAGTATTATTTGAAGCAAGAGATCAGCTTGAACCATATTGAACATGAATATGATCCACCTTCAACTTATTTAACAAAACGTAAAGAGAGGTATATTGAAACCATCGATAGGGGATAAAGAAAAACAAAAAGCACACAAACAATAGGAGGAAGAAAAAGAATTCGAAGCAGAAAGTAACAACAACTATAGTGATAATGATAATGACAATAATAATGACTATGAAAATGACAATAATAATAGTAATAAAAGCTATCATGCTAATAATGATAAAGATGATGTAAATAATGATTATGATAATAACAATAACAAGACTAATAACAAGAAGAGGATGTGAAGGTGGAAGAAGAAGAAGAAAACGTTAACAAGAAGAAAAAGGGGAGGGGAGTAGAAGGAAAGCAAGACCAAAAAAAGAAAGGAATGATCAGAGGAAGTTTGGAGAAGACGGCGAAGAAGAAGATCACTCTTACCCATAGTGGTATAAATTGGGCACGTCTCACTGGAATCCACAACATCCCCTTCTCTGCCTTCCGGGAAAGACGCGTTACCGTATATGAGGGGAGAGCATGCTGCACCTATTGCATGTTAGGTTGGTGGAAATGACGAACAATTTGCGTAAGAATCAAACAATAAAATGATCGTAGCATATGTCAATATGTAAATTATTCTATCAATATAATAATAATGTCTTAAGTCTTATCCCTTTTAGTAATTTGTGTACACATCATTTATCGAGATTATTTTCACCATATTTATGCAAACGATTATTATAAATAAGGGGGGAATCATATATTCTGGCTATTCTAAAATAATGTGTTCTACATTATATACAAACATGTATATTCGGAATTATTTCTTATATATTTCAACGATCTACACGATCTGACAAAGATGAATCTTACAATGTGCATTACGTAAGAGACTAGCAATTGTCTTTTAACAAGAACCCGTTAAGAAACTAAAAAAAAATAATATGTAACAATAAAGTAAAAGGGGGAAAAAACGTGTCAAATTGCAATTTGATAGATGAACAGTGAAGCAGAGGGAAATAAATAAGGACAGCAATGAAGGTACAAGTAAATAAGTACGAATGACGCAGAGGAGAGAGTGATGAAGGAAGTAATTTGTGTTGTTGAGAAGAGTGCATTGCAAATTATTTGAAGAATGGAATGTAACAAAATAGCAATGTAAACATGGTAAAGTATGACGAGGGGGAAAATGATTTGGATGTGATAGACAGAAATGGAGTACGAAAGAGAGTGGAAAAAAATTATGTAGATTAATTGTGGTTTTCAATTTCAATTTACTTTAACGCAGGCTATGAACATCACATCCTGTAGGTAAAGAAAAATATCTAGTTAAAGAACATAGAAGTAGAAAAAGAATTAATCTATGTTTGGAGGTAAATAGGTACTCAGTGAATTACAGAACAATCATGGAAAAATAAAGAACTGATTAATATAAGAAGGACATTTAAAATGTGAAAATGTAATTGTGAGCGAATAAAAAAACTGAAGCATTTATTGCATGAATGTGGAAATATGATTACATAAGAAACAACATATTGTATAAGTCAAACAGGAAAACTAAAATAGAAAATGAAACAGTGTGCTTTTGATGCAATGGAAATAGGGTGAGTTGAATAGATAAGGACAACAAAACATTAAATTTATTTTAACAATGAATGACAAACATATGGATATATGCCAATATAAGAAAAAATATATCGGAGGGAATCGGTTTTATTACAAAATGACACGCACAAAGAAACGGGATCAGATGGTCATCTAGCTGGGGAAAAATAAGAAAGAAAAAGAAAACATTAAATTATAATTAACGAAATTTAAAATTCTGCTTATCAAAATCCAAGTATTAAGCTTTGCAGCAAGTGAGGAATAATAATAGATAGGCAAATTTATTTCTTTCCTTTTAGTGGATACATACATTATGAATATATTTATGAACTTAAACGTTTAAACCAAGGGATTAACATTTCAGACATTATTTCAAAATCACAAAAAGCCAGCGTGAAGATTTTTTATTGAACACTCTAAAAACTAAAATGTTAAATTAACATGTAGAAGGGAAAAAGATTGTCAACATTTCTAAATTAGTAGATTTTCTGTCTTATAACCTGTGAGTATCATGTTTTTATTTCTTAATTAAACTGTATTTTACCTGTGCTGTATCACAAAACTCACTTGAATCCAAAGATATACAATTTGGTTGTAATTATAGTCCGAAGCCCGATCTGATTCCGATCTTCAAATTGGCATCACAAATCATGATGTTTTCACACTACAAGTTGGAAATCAAGATTGAAAAAAAGATTTTTTATTTAATTCAATTTATTCGAGTTTTATTGAGATAGTCTGAAGATTAATAATGTCATGTTTAAAATATACAATGGATATCACAAATAAATATACGTAAAAGTTAAACTACAGGGTCATGAATAAAAAGTAATTGAACCTAAATAAAATATCGTGACATATGTACATTAAAAGGAATTAGTAAAAACAAAATAAAGAAAAGAGACATGCAGAGGAAAGAAGAGGAAAAGGACATACATAGAACCAGCGAGAAGGGAGAGAGAGAGCGCGAGAGCGAGCAGGACAGAGAGAGAGAGAGAAGGATGAAGAGACAGACAGAGAGGGAGAGAGAGAGAGTGATGGGAGAGAAAGAATAATGGAGAGAGAACGATTATAAAGAAAAGATGGATGGAAAGTATTCCAAGGATCAAAATACAGTGGAATAGAGATAAATACATGAAAATAGTAAGCGAGAGGACGAGATATAGAGAACAAAAATTGGGTAATTCGTTGAGAGGGGAGTGCAATGGGAAGAGAAAACAGAATAGAGAGACAGAGAGAGAGAGAGAAGCAGAGAGAGGGAGAGGGGAGAGGGAGGGAAGGAGAGAGAGAGAGGGTAGGGAGAAAGAGAGTGAGAGAGAAAACAGGTATAATAAGAGGGGAAATTATATTTGTATTATGTCTAGTCATCTTGATGAATGTAAAGTTCATGATTTATTCAAGTCATTGCATTCGCATAATCCCAGGTACAGCTCTATCGATATGTTATGAGAAACCACCATGTCGTCATACCCCCTGGATATCAAAACAACATTTCTTTTTTAACCCGCAAAGGAGAGATTCAATCAAGGGATTATCTTTTATTCATCAATTTGAAAAGCAACGAAACGCGTTGCTTCAAAATGTATGAAAATTCAACAACACATTAGATTTCTACACGATAGAACTACTGTCGAGGTCATATGTTACCGATATGATGATTTTGGGCACTACTTCCTCATTTCACCGTTCACGGTTATTTTCAATAAAATTATTCAACCTTGAAGATATTCTAAAAGGTTGTCTGCATTTCGTTTCACCCTCTATGATATATCTATTAATAGCACAATGTTATAAAGAATCTGCAGAATGAAATTTTGTTCCTCAGTTGCTTGAATTAATAGAGTCTTTTTTTCATAATACCTTTCGTGTGAAGATATTTATCCACATTTGCAAGTCTCTACCCAGGTTCATAATGCAATTTAGTTTTTACTCGACAATTTACTAAATGATAATACTTTCTTCCTCATTGCCATAGTATACGATTTTATAAAAACTTACCCCTACATATCTGCCATTTACCTGACAGTGTGGTACTTCCTCATTCGACTACCTCTCCTTCCCTAGCTCAACATACATTAGCACACAACACCAACAGAACGGTGTTTCTTTCCTCCTACTTCGTTTCCTAGTTGAGGGTGTCATTCTGTGAAAGACAGAGAATATTGCAAATGATTTCAGTTGCCTAGTTCAAGGGTCATTACAGGAGATTCTAATTGTGTCTTAATATTAATAATGATATATTGCTGTTTAGAGCCAAAAGGGCTTCATTATTCATATTATTTAACACAGAGTAAACGCCCATTTTGCTCGTAACAAACAACTTATAGGATTAATAGGAAAGTATTCCGGTTATGTTTATGAACCTTTCTCCAGGAGATTGTGACAAATGTAACATTAGATCCTTTTATCTACAGTACAGAGAACACCTACAGAGAACACACACTCCTTTCATCTGTAATTCGTTCATTTGAAGGGTATTCTATCCAGAGAAATTGTTGTAAGAGCCCTGTACAAGCTTTGCTTTCATGGATATTTCAAGAATGATTTTCAATGTGAAAAAGGGGTTTGATTAACTTAATGTACTGCTATTTGGATCCAGACCAGAAGATTAGACAGGAAATTGACCAAAGTGTTATGCGGTTATTCATCTCACACAGCAATGGTCATGGTAGTGTATGGCCAGATAGTGATAACTAGAAAATTAAGAGGGGTGGGAAGGAGGGATGGGATCCATTACAGGTTTTATTGATATTTCAGCAGGCCTTCGAGCGGTGGGCGGTTAGGTGCGATTAAGGACGGGTGGGGCGTCAATCCGTTTTATGTTTTGTTAGGGGGGGACACTGAAATATGAGTGTCAAAGTAAAGCATAGCAACATAATTTTCTATGCGTATCTTTCTTGCCCCCTCGACCATCCAACATCCCCTCTCTCTCTTACTCCCACCTCTCTTCTCTCAGGCTCTTACACCCTCTCTCTCTCTCTCTCTCTCCTCTCTGTCGTTTTTTTTTGTTTGTTTCCCTTTTCTCTTTTATTTTCTTTTCTTTTCTCCTTTTCTTTTTTTTTCTTTTTTTCCTTTCTTTCCTCTCCTTGTTCTATTACTTTTTTTCTCTTTCTTTCGTCTCTTTCCTTTCTTTTCTCTTTTCCTTTCCTTTTCCTTTTTTTCTTTCTTTTCTTTCCCTTTCCCTCTCATTTTCCCCTCCCCCTTTTCTCATTTTTCCCGACAGCATATACACCGCCATATTTACCTCGAGTAGCTCTGAACAAGACTAAAGGCCTCCAAAGTAACTTACGTTACAACATATCTAAGACTTGGTATCCCTTAAATTAGTCACTGTCAAATGAAGGGCTTAGTATAAGTGAAATCGACGGTATTTTCAAACGTTTTGGAACATTTTTTGAACGTTTTCCATCAGCTTCGATTAGTTAGTCAAAATATTAGATGCACAATTATGGCATTAAGGTAGTTGGGCATAACAAAAAAAAACCTTCAAAAAAGGAAATGCCTTTTATTCTATATCCCGATTATCATAGTCATGAGGGCCTCTGCCAAAACTTATTTAAAGTGAGTATTTCTATGAAACTTATCAGTGTCTTTACTTATCTAGAAGCAAAAATATTTAAAAATAGGAATTAGTTGACCATCATGATTTTGAACCTTCTATATCAAGTTCGGGAAAAAATGAATACACTTGAATGCTGTTGTTTGTGTCCCCGAGAAGTGATCCAACTTTGTTATCTTCTCAGTATTGTGGTAGACGAAAGATGTATAGCATTACTGCATTAGCAGCTAAGCATCATGCATTTGCAGCATGTCAAAAGCCTAACAATTGCTCGTTTTTGTTAGTACGTATGGCCTATTGACGTTTCCTCTAGGACTTTCTACAAATGTTGATTAACTTATTTAATGAGTGTTTTAAGAGGAAAATGACTTATGCTGATCTCGATCTTGTCATTTAATTCGGACTGTAATATATGAAGCACACAGTCACACCAAGAAATAGCTTACACCAGCGAGATTTGCGCTGGTTGATGATATATAACAATACCAGCTTTCGCCAATCAGAGAACTGGAAGAGTCAACGCCCCTTGTTAGCCTTGATCTCAATCCTAATTTAGAGCTTTATTTTTAGAATCTAAGGCACAATTTTGAGAAGTGGGGCACCATAGAGCCTATTATATAAACTACAAGACTTCCAAAATATGTGTGTGACATACTCTATTGTGTCCCCCACCTTAACAAATAGGGGGACGTGTCCCCTGCCCCCTACCCCCATTAACGACCATGGACTACATAACCATCACCCTATGCTGGGGGTGTTGTGGTCTAGTGGATAAGTCACACGACTGCAGATCACAAGGTACGGGGTTCTAGTCCCGCTGCGACACTAATGTCCTTTGGCAAGACATTAATCTACATTTGCCACTTTCCACCCAGGTGCAAATGAGTACCTGATATTCTTGAGCACTAGTTACTTTGGCAGCTCGGCTATAACCAGGTTAATATGCCTAAAGCGCCATGAGCGTCAGATCCTGGCGGATACAGGCGCTTTCTAAACATCCATGTTATTATTGTACGCCACGGAAGAGGTTGAACTAGAGTACAACATTCTAAAAGCATTTGGGTAAAACAAAATTACCAAACTGTTGGTTTTAAAAGGCAACATGCATTATACAGTATTGGGTGAAATGAACCCCACATTGTGTAAAATAAACTCACTGTGGGGTCAAATTATCGCACAGTTGGGTAACAGGTCTATTTCACGTCACAAACATGCATCTCATTTTGAACCCAGAATTATGGGTAAAATGTTATAGTTGTATTCACGCCACATCAAAACATTTACACAATAATTTTACGAAGACTTACCTCGTCCTCTAACATCTATCTCCACATAGTTGGTTTAAGAAAAAAGTATGCACCCTCGGGCCCTTTTTTTTTAGCCAGTCCTGCATTGCTGAGATATACCTTCTGCTCTCCATAGATACCACGTCAGGAGTACCAAGGGACCATGTGCTGTATGCGGCTCTTGTAAATTTACTCAGCTTATAACAATAATATGACGTTATACAAAACCTGCGCAATCGTCGTAATTATTTTTGGTGCGCATTTCCTCAAACTCCAAAGCGAAGCGAGTCCTTTTGTATGCGATTCATATTTATCGTTATCCCTGGATTCCTATGTAAATAGTCTATATTCGTCCCTTTGTGCCTTTGGGGTTTTCGTTATATTTGTTTTCCCTCGCATCTCCCCAAACTACAACGACGTAATGCCTTTTTTCTGAGATGTATAACAATCATACCTTTAAGATTCTCGTTTTGCAAGTAAATATCTATACATATTTCCTCATTTGTTACTCTGTTATCATAATTTGTTTACGCGGTCGTTCACTTTAATAAACTATAACGATGTGAGGCTTAAATAATAGACCTACACTATTATATCTCTTTAGATTTTAGGTGAAAAGTGGAGATTCCCTCCCAGATATTTCAAAATTCACACTTTATTGATTATTATAAATGATTACTCATCCAACTTATATTAAACGAAACTTAAGTTTTGAGAGGGCCTTACCATTACGAGTCACGCTTCTCTATAAGTCCCTCATTTTCACATGTCACATAGAAATCGCCTTACCTTCAATGGTGTTCAAACTGTCAAATTTGTTTAAATGTCAATAATGTAACCATACTATTGCAATTTTTTTATAATATTGTTTTCAGATGAAATATACTCCATTTTGTTATAATGTTTGATTTCTGTATAACATTCATGCATGTGAAATAAATAAATTCAATTCAAACTAATAGGTGATAACGAACGACTGATCGCCACTTCCCACTAGACATGTGCAGGGTGAGGGGGTGGGATCGGCCCCATCTACATTGAATGGCCTTAAATTGTATTCAAGGTATTTAACCCCCCCCCCCCCCGTATTTCCCATCTCTCTCCACGGTACATTAATTGATTGATTGGTATTCGCCATACTACCAACATACAACAATATACAATAATAATAGATCAAAATTAAGTCAGCTTGAACAGGATAACCCACGAAAGCTCGAGAGCTTATTTCCAGTGGGGTACAGACATGTACAACATTAATAAGTTAAAATAGTAATATGTACAGATAAGAAAAAGAAAAAACGTTATTAAAGATAAAAATGATAACAACATTAAACTTATGATAGAAATGATAATAGGTACAAGAAGAAAAAGAAGAAGGAGAAGAAGAAAAAGAGGTGGAGGGGGTGGAGGAAAAAGAGGAAAATAATGATGAATTTGTAGAATTTCTATAACGTACAAAAACATGAGTATACCAATACAAAATGAAAAAAGTATGAACCGGCAGAAGATTAAACATTTCAATCATATAACATGTCATTCGCTGCTCCTCTCTGACCCTCACCATTGGAAAGAGAATTCCAATGTTTTATGGCATCGTAATAAAAGGAATTTCCAATACTACCTACTCTTTCTGGTAAGTTAAAGTTAAATCGGCTATTTCTTGTAGTATAATAATGTTAGTCAGTAAGAAGATTGAAGTTGGATCGAATATAATGATTCGACCTAGTGTGATATATTTTATGCACGTGATACAATACGAGTTGTTGTGATCTTTGGTTGACATAGAGGCAAAATGTAAATTAATACCTTATCCTAGAATTGACCCTTCATTAATGTTCTAACGGTGAAACAGTAAAAGCTGTTAATTTGTTTGCGCAAGAAAAATTGGGAATACCCACAATTTGATTATTGTTTCCTTCAGAATTAATCTAGAGGCTTTGGCAATCACCTGAAGAAAAATCCCCCTTTTCACTCTGTTTAATGTGCCTTTGGAAAATTTGTTAATTCATTTCATGTTTACATTTTCATTTACCAACAATGGGATCACAAGTCAAGCGCACGATACACAGTGCAAATAAAAATATGCATAGTGTTGATCGGATTTAGTATTGCTTTAATTCTGTACATGTATATAGAGACGCACCCACGCAGACACACATGAACATTGCTAATGACGAAGCTATATATGTCCCCCTTTTCACTCTGTTTAATGTGCCCTTGGAAAGTTTGTTAATCCATTTCATGTTTACATTTTCATTTATTAATAATGGGGTCGCAAGTCAAGCACACAATACACAGTGCACAGAACACAAAGCATAAGCTGATCAGCTTGATATTCAGGATTGCCTTTATTCTTTACTTGCATATACACACGCACCCATGCACGCACAAATGAACCTTGCTGCTGAGAACGCTACAAGTATATCGTTGCTGAATTACCCAAATTACCCAATTAGATCATTTTTTACGAGAATGATCTGTCTTTTATGCAACTCATAAAATCTAACCTTTTTAATTAATACGCATGGTAGTGGGCTCTCGTGGGTAATTCGACATCATTCGGGTGTTACCCAATTACAGGTGTTGTCAATCTTAACAGGCGTTAAAGGGATTTGGTAACATTGTAAAGATGAGAGAAAGTGGTGTTAAGTCAGTGACTTCAATGCTAGATGTACGATTAAAGATAATCTGAAAATTTGAGTGAAAACGGACCTTTATTAATCATACAAATTGGGAAAAACTTATCTGAACGATTCCTTTATTCTCCCAACTATATTTGAACGATTTAATTAGATTTTAGGTGAATGTAAATCGTCACTAAGCAATAAATTAACTCTACGTACCATTCCAGACATTCAAGTGTTGACAGATTTTTAATAGCATGTTGTATGTCTTTTTTTCATGAAAAAACGGTTGGGATAATTAAAAAATGGTTGGGAGAATTTACTGTTAATCACTGTTAGAGAGTGTTGACCAGTGACGCCTTCATAGAAAACTATAGTTATCTTCGTTATTTGAGATTTGTAAAGGATTTTTTGCATGTCAGAGGATTAGTATAGTAGAATGAATATAATAAGTAACATTTCATACAAAAACTATGCAATTTTTCATCAACTTTCAACGATGTTACCGAGTCACTTTAAGTATTGCTCTGCATATTCCACCCGTTCCCCTAAAGTCATTATCTTACTTTATCCTCATCCGAAGACTTAGCCTCTCGACAAGGCCTCGTGCCTCTGGCTATTTTCCACCCCAATCAGCGGCTGAGATGAGTCTAAAGACCGGGGGGTCACGGTGAACGCGCGATCGAGTGGCTTCTTAACATGTCAGAAAAGGTAAAAGACGTAAACTAGTTTTGCTTATGAGATGAACATATAAATGATTAATACAAAATATCACATCCAAATCTATTCATATAGCTCCGTTTAGTCTCATTTCACAACGCCCCCTACTAACTCCTTGGTCAGAGTCAGCAACCTAACATGTTAGCCTATGGAATTTTACCCCAAAAAAATCGTTAAAAAAAAAAAAAAAAATCATTTTTTTTGTTTAAACGAAAAGCACATCTAATCCACCCCGACGTACGTTATCACTAGCTCTTTCATTGGAACCCTCATGTTCCATTGACTTTTGAAAGTTCACCCACCGTAATTTGATCAAAATAGGTTGCAAGCTCGATATTGCCTATAATACACATGTGAAACAAGTCGAACTTTGGACTCAGTTTGCCAAGCAATTTTAAGATTATAGGTCAAGCACACGAAGGATAAGAAGCATGAATTATCATAGATCACTTCTGCTTGGTTCATTATGTCCATTTCATCCAACCCCCACCGTCATTTTTCCATTTAGTAAAAGCAAACATTTTGCCGAGGTAAGCAAAAACATGAATATTCATGAACGGTCAGACAATACAGCCTTTTCGTACGTAACGTATAGTGAATGGGAATGGGCGATGATCCGTCTAGGAGGTAGAGGTCAGTGGTTTGAGCTGGCAATGTTCCAGCGAGCGAAAATGAGACAACTGGAGCAATATGTTTACGTGCAACATCACAATAAAAAAGGAGGCATTTGATGACTTGAGCTAACAATTGTAAGTGAGACTTTCCCGGTATATAAAATGACCCAGTCCAACTCGTTTCGTTCAATGTTATAGGTATTCGTACTACGTAGAGTTTACAGTGAACGTGATGGATACGTTTACTGTGAACATGATGGATAATATATGCCGACGTCACGCGATGATACGTTCGGTGATTGGACGCTACCATTTTGGTAGAAAATTGCAGTCGGAAACAAGGGTTAACATAAGAAATCCAAACTAGACTACTAAAGGCCACTTGGCTGGGCCACTCGCTCTGGCGTTCACTCGGGTTTTCGCAATTAGTCTCTTTTTAGTCGCTTGGCGTCTATCAGACATGAGGTCGTGTCTAAAGGCTACCGAAGACTCTGCTAGAGACTAGGAAGTATTTCTTGATGGGACTACGATTTGCTGTGTGCAGACTTGAACACGCAATGGTATTTTCATTAAGTCTGGTGTCAGCAAATTATGAACCACTGCAAATGGATACTGACGACCCGCTCACTTTAACTTCCTAATATTGAAAACCATAAATATCGAAATCAAAATCATAAGATTAAAGAAAAAAAGATGAAATGAAGAAGAGCGGGAACCCATCCACACGAATTAAGGCCAAGAAAAAGATTTTCTTGCTGGAAAAAAATGGACCATCATTGGCTATAGGAAGAATTGCCTTTCCCCTTTCGCCAAGGTCCGGATACGCTACAGTTGCTTACTATATATGTTTTTTTTAAATCTAAAAATCGACAAGTAATGAGTTGTGACGGTTTGTGCTATATCCGGCATGAAACATATGTCAATATCCATATTCCATATTCCATCTCTCTCACGTTATACTATTTGAAAATTAAAATACAAAATAACTATATTGCTATTTTTCTGTTCGAAATTTTAAAAAATCCCGTTTGCCCTTCCCAGCCTGCTCCTCACTACACCTGACGTTTTCTCCTTACAACTATTCTGGTACAAATTGCAATGATTACAATTTCACAGTATAGTTTAATGGCAAATACAAAGCAAAATATTTCCTCACTGTGCAACAATTACATTTTCTACTCAGACAATAATTTTAAAGAACCCTAGTGCCGCTCTTGTATATCATGATTTCATATTCCTCTTTGACAAGGTCATTATTCACAGTCTGATTAATAGGATTTGGCTTCTTATTTATCGGTTAATATTCATGGCTTCCATGGTCTGATCGTTGGTGGGTAACGGATCTGTGCACATACAATACGTCGTGGTGCAGCCTGCCGAAGCAGTTGGGGGACTCCTGTTCCTTTGCCGTCGAGATCTAATGACAAGAAAAGAAGAGATTAACCAGGATAGATAATGAACTAGACTTAGAGAGGGAATGAGGATAAACTTCTCACATTAAAATATGCATTCTATGAGAGTAATAATATCATATGAATGAAATCTATTATTTTCTTCTATAAAGATCCATATGTTTGCTTACCAAACGAGAATTATAACCTGTTTGATGTGACTCTCATTCACTTGGACATTATAATGTGCATACTAAGAGAGTAATAATATAATTTGAATGAAATATATTATTTTCTTCTATAAAAATCCGTATGTTTGTTTACCAAAAGCCTCATCGAAACCGGCCTGGCACAGTCGCCCTAAGAGACTAATTCCTGTTTTTCTTCTTTTTCTTTCTCGCCACCCCTCTCATGCCCTCTTCCCATCGCCCTCACGATTTAAATTGACAGCACGGCTGTTCTACCGAATAGTCTTAATGAGAGGTCCACTTGGGCATTATTCCACCTCTCTCTCTCTCTCATTTCCACTGTCTCTCTCTCTCTCTCCCTCTCTTTCTTCCCTTTCTCTTCTTTGTTTCTTTATTATTGGCATTGATACGTCTTTACTTGATTAAAACGGCTTACTTCGAATCATCGGGTCATCGCGTCGGGTCGGGTGGTCGCGTTACCCGACTTTTTGTGAAAACATGCCCTTTGTTCACGAAATGCCGGGGGTAATGTTTGTGAAATGAACCCCTCTCATCTACAAATGGTCTTGTCCAATTAACCCAGCACTTTGTGAAAATGCTACGACAAATCTACGAAAGGTCGATGATTCGAAGTAAGCCATAAATTAAACGAAATAAATGCCAATTACCTTTTGCGTTTACGAAGACAAATGAATATCATAATGACACAGATGAGAACAATAATAACGGTCACAGATACGATCGTCAAAGTCACAGGCGTGCCACTGCTTTCTAAATTTAAAGATGACAAATTATTAAGACGAGACTTTTGAGAAATCAACCCAAGGGTAATTTAAATACCCTATTCTGTATCCTATATAAATCATGTTTGGAGTACATGATACGTCATCAAATTATCTGCATATTCATTTCAATCAATAACGGAATACGCTATTAAAATTTCATTAGGTTGATCTTTTGGAAAGTCTTTGCGATAATTTTAATAAATCACATCTTCACATAACAGTTAATCTAAATAATGTATCTTATGTTTTTGGAAGAATAAAACAAAGTATTAGATGGAACAAAAAGGCATTGGAGCATAATTGAGATTTCCCGATAAAATACGATTTGTAGTGATTACGATTGTGAATTTATATCATAAGTAAGCACAAATAATACAGAAAGCAATGCAGAATTTTCGAAAGAATTTTCGAGCAGTTTCTATGATATAAAATATATTCAGATTGAGCAACAAGTATATTGTCTATCACGTATTCTATCATGAATAATATGAAGTATTACCCTGCATTGTTAACAATAAAACATGACCAGGGGGTGTTTCATGAAGCTGTTCGTAAAGTTACGCATGATTTTACGAACGACATGTATATGAAGTGCCAGATAGGATGCACAAAGTGTTTTCTGATATTTTCAATAACCTCAATTAAATTATGGCAAAAAATATACTTTGCATTAAAAATGTTTGTTATCATAAGAATGTTAATCTACATCTGCACACTTCAACTTTAGTTGACGTATTTAATAATGATTGAGCATCCTATTTGGCTTTTCATATACAAGTCGTTCGTAAAGTCATGCGTAACTTTACGAACAGCTTTATGAAACACCCCCCCCCCCGGGCTTTTTTCCCCTCCCACGTTAGTATACTTTCTTTTGTAGTGTTTATACAATTGTATATAATATTACTTCCTGTGTCAAAAATCATGATTGTTAATATAGTGTCCCTTTGTTCTCTGACATGATAAAATTGCATTCTAATTCTATGTTTATTTTTGGTCGTCAAGTATAAGTGCATTTACATCTTTCAATATATATCAGAGAGAGAGAGAGAGAGAGAAGAACAAGAACACAAGAACAAAGATAACCCGATTCATTGTCTTAAAAGGCCACTCTAACCAAAACGGGCTAAAATGAAAAAAGACATGTAGAATCATTTTTGACCGAGATTCCGAACTTGACAATGATTTTGCTTAGAAATTATCAATAATTCTGGAATCTAGCTTTAAAAATGACAACTCAGAACGCTCATAAAAAGCCCAGTTTTAGAGCTGTATTGCGCAACTGTTTATGACGTCACCGCAGGCGCCTCTCCGGTGAAAAGGAGGGTGGTCTAGGCATTAAAATATCTTTAAAAAGACAAACTATGATATTTATTGGAACAAAAAAGACATTTATCCGAAAAATGATATGCACTTGATAATCCCAGTACGTTTCTGGCAATTTCGTCATTCCTAATGTAAGATCCTTAGTTGTAGTTTAAATCGGACATGACCTCAATGACGTCAAATGCGTCATCAAGGCCACATGACCGTATTACCTTTTTTCGAGGGGCGTAACCCAGCAAGCGTGAGAACTGTGAAAATGGATGGTTATTAATTTTTTTTGGTCAATTTAGAGATTTTCTGAAAAATCCGAGGCTAGAAAATTAATAAGTAGAAGTGTATTCATGTTTTGAAAGGCTATGTTAGTTGGGTTAGAGTGGCCCTTTAATGCAAAAGCCACGTTCACTTAAGGATTTCCAACCGTCAGTTGTTTCTTTCCTCATCTTTTGGCTATACAAGAACGATAGGCCCACGTGAACCTGACAGACAGAATTATGAGTCTAGGAACGGAATAAACACAAGAACAAACGAATATGTTACTAGAATAGAGGTTTGGGGAAAAGAAGCACATGCACAAGGGGGGACAAGACCAACGAATGAAAAAATGAGGAATAGAAAATTCCACTTCTTAACTAGGCTCATAGCATGAAGTTGAAAGCGGAATATGAATGGTAAACAAACATTGTGAAAATGCGGGTTGAAGGGGACTGGGAATAGAAAGCGTGCATTCATCTTGTTGGTCATGCATGCGTTACGATTATCATATGATCAAAATAAACCGTGCGGGTCCACAGACAAAGAAAACATATGTATGACGAGGGTGAAGACAGACGAAATGCACACTTCTCACACAAAGAACATTAGTTGTCGTTTTCAAATCGCGCAATCTCCTATTTTAAAGTATGGACAACTTTAGTGTAATCAGTTCCAGCTCGTTGCACCCACACGCTGAGAATTTGGCAGATTTATAATTTCAAACAATAGATCTCCTTGGTTTAGCAAGGCATCCTTATATTTCATGACACCAGTGTCCCCAAGAAAGATGCACCTGGATCTAATGTACATGCATGGAGAAGAGGTTTAAAAAAGTAAAACAATTATACTACCTTGGAGGTTGATTAAAGGAGTCATTAACCAAACTGGAAAATGTGCTAAGAAATAAAAACCTAAAATTTACAACTAAAATCCGGGTACTAAAGTGCTATGTATGGAAATGTCCGTACTACTGTAAGACTGGACGTTAAATAATGGACATTAAAATTCAAGCAGCAAAAATGTGCTTCTAAAGAAGGACGCTTAGGTAAGCTTTGACTGACATGATATCAAATGAAGAAGTGATAGATAAGGCATGTGTTGACAGTTCCTCCTTAACATGAAAAGGAAAAGACAACTTCAGTTTGTTGAGCATTTTATGAGCAGAGAAGGCACAGAAAACAAGATACTGACAGGAAAAATTGAGGGAAAGTGAAGCAGAGGGAGACAGTACATCAATTACATGGGCAAGTTCAGTGGACTGACGGGTAACAGAGGCAGCATCCCATTACAAAGGACCAGAGATAGAAGTAGATGGAAAGCCTTGATCGCCAATATCTGGAAGAGACAAGGCACCTAGCAAGCAAGCAAACATTTTGAGATAAGGTGAATTTAAGCTAATACAATAATATAAAATAAAAAACAGCATTTCACTGAACTCACTTAAAGTGACTGGGACCATGAAGGGTCCACTCTCATAGAAGGCCATCTGTTATAGAGTAACACAATTCAATTTTTTACATCAACTTGTTGGTTTCTATATCATCTCTTTTTCAAAACACACATTACCATATGCATGAATGTGAATCTCATGAAAAAAAATTATAGTACAGTACTTACACGTAAGTAGAAAATGTTAAAAGACATAAAATTAACAAGTTATTTTATCATGTAAAGAATAAATATAAATTAGAAGATATTGGAGGGCTACAGTATAGGCATGAAGCCCGATTTAAGAGTGAGTGAAAATGATATAACTTGTGATTCTACAAACACCTTCGTTTTGATAGAGACAGGAGAGGTGAGAGAGGGAGGAAAACGAGAGAGAGAGAGAGAGAGAGAGAGAGAGGGGGGAAACTTAGAGGGTGGGAAGAGTGGGAAAGAGAGAGAGAGAGAGAGAGAGAGATTAGAGGATAAGGTGGAGAGGGAAGAAAGAGAGAGGAGATACAGAAGGGAATGGAAAGAGAGGGAAAATGAAGAGAGGGGATGTAATGAGAAGGGAAATCATTAAGCCGTTTTAAAATCTCACGATTATTCTAGTCGTTATTTCATCAAAATATAGGGTTGTGACTGGATTTAGACTATGTTTAGGCTTATGTTTAGGTACACTACGTTGTGATGGATCCATACTTGAAAAGAGAAAATTGTTATATGTCCAGATTTGCCTACGGAGCAATTCTCACTGTAGCACAGGTTGTACAATCATTCCTTTGGATTGTAGTGCAGTATATTGCGCTTTTATTGACTTTAAACAACAAGAACCGATGTGTAGTCTGCAGTAAACCAAAGCACTATAAGTTATATCAGGGAGGTGTTTGAACTCTCATATCTCTGGTTAAGTGTAATACTCGTCACATTTACTATCTTGTAAGCCAGTGCACCATGACTACGCGGGGTTAAAGGGAGTGTATCATGACAAGACTATGTGTCTTCCCCGTGGCCCTACTTGGGGCCAATAATGCGACTACGGACGACGCGACCGCAGCATTCACGTGCGTGCAACATACGCGAAACCCAAGCGTGAGGAGAACTTCGGTCTGTTTCAAATCCAATTGTCCAACAGAAAACGAACATGGCGTTAAACCAGTATTTCCCATGATACTCTTCCTTTAACCGTCTCATATCTGTACGAGCCACAGTCCCTACATAAATACCTGAGAATCTTCTGGAGAGGGAGTATAGACTCTGACAAAGGTGGAGTAGATCCCACCGGTATTAAGAGGGCCATTGACCGCGGTGAGAGTACTGGCACCTGTTGTTTGTCTCCTTCTTCTACTAGCACTTCCAGCCGAACCTACAGTGTTACAGGTCGATACATCGCCAGTTGATGCACCTATAACTAAAACGCCATTGGCGGGACAGCTAACATTTTAGGTTACAAGAAGGAAAAAGAAAAGCAAAAGAAGGGATATAAGCAATCGCTTGCATTTTAGTGTTGTGGTATAGATTAGGACAGTAGACTGAAGCTCACAAGGTAGAGGGTTAATAATATGCTTTGGCAAGACATTCTATCTTTGACACTCTTGACCGAGGGGTAAATGGGTGCCTGATAGTGCTCGAGCGTGCCTTTAGTTCCTTTTGCGGCTTGGCTAAAACTGGGGTAATAATGTCTGAGTGTTGTGAGCGCCACACACCATGACAGAAATGAGTGCTATGTATTAGTAAACAAATAACACACATCAGTGAGGGCATTAGTAAGAATTACCCCACGAGGTACCTTTGGAACAGTCTAACACGCCCGAGGTGATAGCCGAGGGCGTTTGGACTGTTTTGAAGGTACCGACTTTGGGTAATTTTACTAATGCCGAACAAAATGACGTGTGTTATTTGTTTTATAAGATTATGTTTTATTTGTTTATAAGTGATGTTTTCTAACATAATTTTGATTGACCGGTCATTACCTTCGGATAATGACCGGTCATTACCCAAATTACGCGCGATTACGCGTTAGGCAAAATATATGCCTGGTCACGTGTACGCTTTCAACCAATCATTTGATTAGGATCCACGTCATCATCTTATAATCGTTGTTAATTAATTATTTGCTTGTATTCTGTCAAGACCATGTTCATCACATTAAAGATACTATGTCCATTTTGCAGCCAACATCAAATTCTGTAGAACTTTGCAGGAATTATGAATATGTCATGTATGTCCTAACTGTGAAATTTAAACATTAGCAGTGTCCTATATTCAAGTTATGCAAGGAAACGTGTTTACTTGCTAGAATTCACTGTCAAACACTGTTGAGAGGGTGACTGGCCTTTTTCCTTCTTTGGTAATAACATACATTAAATGAGTTCTAAAGGGTACATGAGCATTTGTCGACGTTAATAACCCACTTCTTGTCATGGCCAAAATTCATCTGATTGAATCTTTGCGCAGCATATTAAACGAACGATGATTGGGTACAATGGTCTGAAAATCAAAGCTATTACTTACTGGCTCTATAGCTCTTAAGTCGATTCGACTAACAAACCATTTCAAATCAAATAAGACGAAAAGAGAGGAAGACAAAGGACAAAGAATATAGGACGATTTAAATCTAAGGAAAGATCGATAGTAGAGCAGTGGTCCCATAACCTGGATGTTCCAGCTTTGAAACAGTAATGCCCTTTTTCCACTTAATGAAGGAATGATGCAGCATAATTAAAGTCCTTTGGATGATTATCTTTGTTACCAGCACTTGCTTTCCATGGCCAGCATATAAAATGATTCATTCGTTGATCAATCAATCAAGTAATCAATAAATCAATGTATACTCACTTGCTGAATACAACAGCCCTATATGGTGTTCCTTTTGTGTTCTTTGCTTCCTCGTAGCTCTTGATCTGTGCAGGACCGTAACTAGGGTCTGAAGAATCTAGGTCTGGATCACCACTTTGCAGTTCTACAACAATCACCTCGCAACAACTTGAAAGGATAAAAAACAAGACGAAAATAGATTTAAGCACTTGATAAAATAAGATTAAAATGTACATATAATGTATGTAGAAGAATTACATATATTTTGATCTTAGGTCAAAGATTCCCAAATCCTTAAAAGAAGTAAGTTTCTAAAATGTTCTGAATCATTAAGAACTATAGTTCGATGACACCATGGGCGTCAATCCTTACGTAATAACTATTGTTCAGGGGGATGAATGAATAGATCATCCCTCCCCCCCTGAACAATAGGTATCAATTACAGATCTACGCCCATGGATGACACATCCAATATCTTTTACCTGTCAAGTTGAATGTTGCTCTGAATATCTCATTATGGCATTTAAAAAAGACGATTTACCCTAACTACAAGTATTATACAAAAATAGCACTAAAACACTTTATAAGGAATACATAGGATAAAATATGCAAGTATCTTTCGGATGTTAATTACATGTATTGCCAAGACTTTTACCAAAAAACATACGGTATCCTGAGACAAAACAAAATTCAATCTATTTAAAAATCAGTCTACTGATAAACACTTTTCAACTGAACACCTCACTTAAAATAGTAAGGTTTAAAAGTATTGTCTTCTTTGCCACAGTGAAGGAAGCATTCATATTTTATGGCAAGATAACATACAAAAAGATCGAATTAATACAAAATGCCCTTATCCTGAATTCGGTGATGAAATGACATAATGTTGTGAAAGAGTATCATCATACTAAAGCTAAGATAATGTGACTGAATAAGATTAAACCCCTCCTTTTGTTTATGTGAAAAAGATGGATAACAGCAAAACAGAACAGGTACAACCGAATTCTGCCTGAAGGGCACTGAGAAAACATACACTGTGCACGACCCAATAAGAAACTTTTTGATGCTAATTCATTAGTATTGCTTTCCCATCAGTTGCTACAAGGTTATGGAACGAGTTAACTACCAACCTGAAGACTGCTACATCTTTACCAGTACACCTTTTGAAGAAACCTTTGAATGCCCACTTATTTTGTTACAGAGCAGAGGTTGCTGTACGTTCCTATCGGCTCAACTGGTGTTGAATAAAATGAACTGAACTGAACTGGTGCAGTGTTTTTATCTTTGTTTATTGAGTGGTCCTTATTCTCTGCAAGAAAAAGCTGGACGTTATTCCAAATACTCTGTGGTTTGGATTTGATTGGATTGCTGAAGTGTTCTCATACCTAATGGGCCCATTGCGTGCATCATAGGGCAGCAACGTCGTGGTGAAGCTTGTCTGAGAAATTCCACTATCGTTAGGGGTAGGTATGGATTGTGGCGCCACAGGCACTGAATCAAAACAGAGAATACATACATTCAGTATTGAAGCACAACACAAGTGGATGTAAAGGTTCATAATAACGTCCGTGTACCTTGCAATCGGAACGGCATGTGAGTGTTCGCATGCCTAAGAGTAACATAAGTGAAATTCACTTTTGTGAACCCTGACCTTCATGCCATTCCTTATGTGCTCGGCATCTTTTATATATTACTTTGTATGTATGTCTTGAATTTTCTGTTGTCAAATAAATTAAATGAATGAATAAATAAAGATAGAATAATTATGATAATAATAATAATGATAAAAGCAATAATGATAATAATAATAATACTACTAACAATAATAATAACAATGATAATAGCAATACTAACAACAACAACAACAATAATAATAATAATAATAATAATAATAATAATAATAATAATAATAGTAAAATACAACTACTACTGTACTACTACTAATACTAATAATAATAAGTACATATAAGCTAATGTATCTCTTCACCCTCCAGTCTTCAAGCTCTGTGGTTTACAGGAGGACGGTGAGTGGACTGACAAATCAAAACTTTTTTTTTTGTAACTTCAAATTGGGCAAAAAATGAGGGGTTCAGGCACCCAAACCTTGCTTTTTATCACCTAACATTGGCCACTCTTTCATCCCTCATTACTCAGCTAATACCATAATAACATAAAAGAATTGGAAAGTGCCAAATCCACTTGAAAACAAATGCTCAAGGTGAACATATGGAAAAGATGAAATCACATAAAAGCATCTGCTTAAGCCTGTCTGTACTTGTTTGGCCAGGAGGGATAAGACCACACAGTGTGGTCACTGACAGGTGGTTATCTCATCAACTCAGCTCTCAATTAACATAAGAAAAAGAGAATCATGGGGGACCAACATGCACCAATTAGGCATTGTTTGCTATATAGAGGGAACAAGTAGCTACAAGTAGTACAGTGGACCTTTAATACACAAAATAATAACAGGAGTATTAAAGACAGAAAAAAAAATGAAAGAGGACAATTCATTTTATGCCACATCAAACATTTTAATGATCATGTATTTCATTTCAGACCAATGTTAATGTGGTCAATTAAATGTTCGACTCTGGTGAGTTTAGCTCAGTTTGAAGGATAGGATGTTTATAATTGGGTAAAATATTACTCAAGCTGCACATAAAATTGCCCAAAGTTCTTCGGACACACAATTACATGTATCCTCACGTTTTGCAATTTTTCTCCAGTATTTATCAGAGTGCAGTGGTAATTTTTTTTATTTATTATGTACCAATCACCAAAACATATTTTGCTTTTGATGTGAGGGGTTAAATTTTGCTTTAATGTAGTCAAAGTATGAGCTTCAAATATGAACAAGAGAACATTGAAACCTCTACCAGGTAGTTAAGTAGACTACTCTAACACTTTCATATAATACGGTGCGCGTCCTATACACAGGGGATTATGTTATACTTTATTTCTTCATACTCATTAATCATTTACCTGATACAGAATGCAAAGTAAATCATTTAGAGGTTAAATTTTTACATTCTTCCTTTTACACAAATTAGATTTTCAGCTGATTGGTACACATTAAATTATTAAGAATCAAACCTCCTTGTGGTGTTTCGCAAACGTCTGTAGTGGTAGCAGTAACCCCTTCTCCAGGTGCAGTTGAAGCAGTGATTGAGTAACGAAAGATGGAAAAGGGATCTAACCCTGCCTTCATAAATGTTATCTGCAATTGAGTAGCAGGCGTTTCAACTTTTTGGGTTTTATCCACAACATCTGTGCCCATTTTCAAGACCTCTTCATAGAGCTGCCAGAAAAATGGACCAATACTCATAATTACACAAGAGGAATATCCATGTATAGGATGTTGGTGTATCAATAATACATTGCAAGTAAGTATTGTTTTATTGTTGCATGAAGTGGGTGTATTCATTATATCTGTTTAACTCTATCTAGCCCGGGCTATTTTGAAACTGCATAACCTGGGGTTGGGGGCTTCTAAGGCCCCCCCCCCCCCATTCAACGGCCGATCGCCGCGAAAATGTGCACGTATGTCAGGTAAAGTGAGTAGTTTAATAAGGTAATTTTAATTTCTTTTGAAAAATTTCACCCTTTTGCATATTTACATGTATGGTAATTTATGCAAATAAGGTAATAAAATTAGCATTTTTACCCGTAAATCATATACATGTATTCTTTACATTTAAACATTAGTTTCACTACATATATTCTTTAGACCATTTGGGATAATAATATGTATTTTATTGTTATTGTTGTTTTATTTCAATTCTAACTATAATTTAACTATTTAAAGCCCCAAAATGAACACCTTAACTATAAACAAGACGAAATAACAATTTTTTCCCCTCTTTGGGTACCCGGTAGGATGCGAAAGCTAATGTGGTTTGATTAGCAAGTGGCGCTTGTAAAATGGCGACTGGCTGGAATGCTCCCCAGGGAGTGGAGAATGTGCATACCTTGTGTGCGGGTAAGCCTGAATCCGATGACCGGGGTAATAATATGTTCCGCGCCTAGAAACGTAGTATTAGGCGCATTATAAATGTGAGCTATTATTATTATTATTTATTGGAAAAATTAGATTTCCCTTTGTTTTGTACAAAAATCACAAAAATGAGCGCTTTTCGGGGTGACATGCAAAGAAAAAGGGTCACGTGACTTTGTAACGGTAGGCTAGATTTCAAAAAGATGCGCAAGACTCGAAAGAAAAAAGTCCTAAAAGGGCAAGATTCTTTGGCGTTAAAAAAAAATGATCGTGCAAAATGTAGAGGGGGGCTTCTAAAGAACCCCCCCCCCCGGGCTAGATAGGGTTAATCCATGGTCACAACTGGCCGTGCACCTCTCTGCATGTGACCTACGATGGATTACACAGAAAATCCCTGCGTCAGTTGCACAGGTCTACAGGTTTTTTTTTCTCCAGGTTCCCAATTAGGTGGCTGTTGGACGTGTCCAACAGTCGCTGCATGAGGCTACATTTTTGAAGAACACATGGGCGCAAGCAGCCGCTGCACTTCATTGCAAACATTACATTGTATTCTTACAGGTAAGTAAGAAGGACGTATGAATCGCATTAGTTTGCCTACGACCAGGCCACAGCTGCAGTCTTGCACTTGTGAAAGGACATACGGTGAGTTGTGACCGGTAACTGGTAGAATTCTCAACTCTATTGCGACAAGAGTATATCTGAATCTCTTAGGGTTTCTATAGATAAAGCTTATAAATTCTTTTGTTTCACAAGAACCCCCCCCCCCCCCCAACAACAACAAAAATGCTGCAAACAAATATATTGTTGTAACTTTGAAACAAACTTAGCTGAAGAAGAGCAACATATGGGTGAAATTTCACAAAAAAATTAGTCCAAACGGTATTTAATTTTTCTAGCGTAAATTTCTACTCTAACCAACCATGAAAATAAAAGGTTTAAAGTCACATATTCCTTTACTTAACGGTACTTAGAAAAAACATTCTTTCTTTTAAACATGCCCTTTAAAAATTAAAAAAAAAATGCCTGCTTAAAAATAATCCTGTTAATCGTAACCCATCGAAATAGGCTTGCATTCTTATGATTGTTAATCCTAGGTTGTTAAGTCAATGAAATAAGCCTTACTGTATATTTTTTGATCACTCCATTTGGCTCACTCGGTTGCCCCCAAGAAATTATGCATTCAGTTGGAGAATCATCAACAGTAAGTCCTACCGGTTCTCCAGGTGCTAAAAAAAGGAGAAACAAAATATGAGAATTGAGAATTTACTGCCATAACCAATGTCCTAAGCTAATGCGTTTGGATAATGTGCTAATTAACATAGTTACATAAATTCAGTTTGTACTATTATAGTTGCTACGTATATGTACATATATGAATAAATATTATAGAAGTTTTGTTGTCAAGTGGTTTTAATGCTTGAGATATAAGGCTTGTTCAGATATGATGCAGTAAACCGTCGCAAAAAAGCCGTTATTTTTTTTCAAAACATGTGTAAATGAATGGGAAATGCACATATTAATTGAGCTCTGTGTTAAATATAAGATACAGAAATGTGACATGCAATGCACTTTACGTCATTTAAAAAAAATTAAAAAAACTCAGGGTTATGCCGTGACATATCTGAATATGCTGCATGTACGCAATTTTTGGTGTGGGGGAAAATTCCTGTTTGGGGACCCAGTCTCAACCCGAAATTTTAATGTGAAACCCTGGGTTCGGCAAAAGCCGTCATGACTCGGGCCTAGGACTAATATGTTATATCTATCCTTAATGGACCCCTGTGACCTTTGAAATATCATATTCAATACTGATACTCCATAATCTGTACATACCAGCTTGTAAGGTTTCAAAACTTTCTGAGGGTACTGATTCGTTACTAGTCTGTGTCCCTTCCTCTGAGTTGAAATTAAGTGCTCGTACATAGATTCTGTAGATTGTATATGGTGTAAGTCCTGTAAAAGAAGCGCTGGTTCCTGGTACAGCTATAACAGTAGATTCAGAGAAGAGAATAACATGTGATTAATCAGCAAAAAAACATGAGTAGATAAATTATTAAGTGTATTAATGAGAGACTGCATCTCATTTCTGTAGAAACACATCATAATCCACGTATATAATCCGTTTATAATACTACCATTTTTACTACCAAATTATCCTATCTGTCTCCAGAGGTGGATTTATCTAGGTAAGCTTGTCTTCTCAGTTACATAGAAATAGTCTATACTCTGAAGTTAGTATTTAAGGTCATGTGACACAATGCATTATAACACACAGCACCCATTTCCAGACATCCAGTGTACCTAGTGAAGTCCATAAACAGTTTATTGCGCTTCTGTAGAAACAGACTGGTCGCAGTCCGACAGGGGGTTGATTTCCGGTCTATACTGGATAGACAATACCGTTACTTTCTGATCTGACATGCTAAATGTTTCATACAAGCATGTACTTTAAGTCTGCACAAAAATGTCATCAATATCAAAGTTAAAATTGTTTACCTTAAATGCATGTTGCAAGGACTTACGATAAATGTAGTCGCTTTTTTCACTTCTAGCTGTTAGTATGTATACATCAATAGGTCCATTTTCAACCTCTGGCTCGTCCCATTGTACAAACACCTGTCTTGCTTCTATTTCACTAATACGCACATTCCGAGGCTTAGACGGCTCTGAAATAAAGATAAAAGTGATCACCAATATAGGAAAACACATTTCATCATTAAACCTTAAGTACGAAAATTAAATGAATCATGCATTTTAATACGTAATCATAATTTGAGATCAGGGGTCTAATGGTTCCTGAAAAAACAAATTGAACGAAGGTTAGATTCTTTAAAAATAAATATTGCTTCATATTTATATTGCACAACAACAAATTATTGGTCCCCTCTTCTGGTGACTAAGCAAAACTGGGTACAAAACTGAAAGGCTAGTTGAACTTGTTAAATACATATATCAAATAATCCTCTAATCATTTTTCTATGCAGGGGTTTTTATATTCATTGTGGAAGAAATTAAACAAGTTTGAATTAAACTTCAATAAACAAAATCATAGAAGGATAAATGGCGAAATAAATGCAGAAAATATATGTTGGACCACTCATACACTAAGATACATGTGTGACTTTTTAATTCAGGGTCACATAAGAATGAATATACATGCAAGATAGTGATCATACTTCCAGCTAGGGTGCGTTCGGGTGGAAAGTCCAGAGGCTCGCTGCTTCCAGCAAGATTCACACAGATCAGCTGAAACTTGTAGGTGGTGTAGGGCTCCAAGTCCAACAACGGGACACCCGGTGATGTACCTCCCACATCTTGCTCTGTCTCATTGGTGTCTTGAATCCCGTATTTGGCGATGCAGTTGATCTCGTCGTCATTGCCTTGAACTGTGAAGTCCCACACAAGTTGAAGTTGCTTGGAGCGGACATTGAGATATTCTGGATTAGCAAGTTCTGCCACCTCTGTGAAAGATACAGGAAAAGAATGGTCAAAGTTAGTTGGTGTTTTTAGAGGTGTTGTTGTCTAGTGGTACTTGACTTCAGATGAATAGATCAAGGGTTCAAACCCTAAAATTAACACTTGCACTTATCACTTCTTCCTTTCCCGATGTATTATTAGTTAAATGATAGAATGAGAATACCTTTGTGGTTTGGACACAAACAAGTATACCTGGAAAATAGCAACCGACTGGAAAGCTCCCAAATGAAGGGAGTGGAGATAGAGAAAGATTTGTTAGGGCATGTATTGTATTAATTGAATCCAATGATTTCATTGGGTATCTGTATCAACAGTCATAGAACATCAATTAAAGAAAAGAAAAGGGGTTTAAAAAAATGTTATTGAAGAAAAAATACTTTCACTCTAACCTTGGACAAAGATGTTAAAATCCCCACTGTCGGTCATAATCCCAGCTCCGTCAAAAGCCAAGCACATATAAATTCCATTATCTCCTCGGACAATATAAGATACATTGAGCACGCTGAAGAAATATGTCCCTCCTGTTCCCATTTCTTGGCTTGGTTCAATTCTAGTCCTGTTCATACCATTCACTAGTCTCACTCCATTCCGCTCCCATGCTATGCTTGCATTACTGGTCGAGAACACGGTACAGTTGAGACTTGCCGTTTGGTTTAGTTGGATATAATCCTCAAGTTTGCTGAGTTCAAGATCAATTTTACCACGAACTGAAAGGAGTGGTACAGAATTAAAAAAATCTATGAAATTGAGCTGGTTATCCAAAGTACGACAGTTTTAACAGGCAGCAGTACAATCTGGTCAATAACACTTGCAATGCTGAACTCTCAGAACAATCTGAATGTTTAAATTGCAACATAGGTCTATATCTACAATAATTTTTTAACGGATCAGCTCACACTACTTTTCTTTGAAAACTGTCTATAGGTTTCAAAATGCCTGTATTTGGGACAAATGCCCCTCTAATTTATGTATGGTGTTCATACATTTACATAGAATATTAAAGAGAGAATATCAGATATCTGCATGTGCATTATTATTTTTTGTTTAATTACTTATTGGATGTGCATGTACAAATCGACCGGATATTGACATTTTCGATTCGTATTACAATTAAGAATGCATGTATAGTTTGTTTCTACACTTCATCAACCTTTCTAGCTACTCACCAACAACATCAGCTGAAATGTCTTCGCTCGATGCATTAAACTGGTTTTCTTTTGTCACAGCAGTGCAGCGGTAGGTCCCTGTATCTAAGGCATCGGCTACAAGGATGGTGATGCTGTACATTCCCATGTCAGGGTTGCTGTCTACCATGTAGTCTGCACCTGTCTCATTTGGGAGTTCGACACTATCTCTGTACCAAGCCACCTCATCCAGGTCTATCCCTGCGAGATTGACCCGACAAGCTAGTGTAAAGTCGTCGCCCTTTGATATTGTATCGTTAGATGTCCGGCTTGCTGTGACTTTAACCTCGCCTGCAAAGAGTGAAAGTACCATAAGTCATGGTTAGGGTACTTTAAATTGGCAACACTGTGACGTATCATGCGAGCTCCTCTCCAACTTGCTCTGTACAGAACATCTCATGAATTCTAATTTTCTTAGTTATTGATGTTGGGGTTGTATACAAACATTTTTTAGTAAAGGGCAGATGGGAGGGGAGCTCGTAAGATGCATCACTGAGTTGTCAATTTGTGTTTCATTGATCGCACCTTCAAAAATGCATAACTTTCTTATTTCTAATCTGGTTTTTGCTCAAATTTTCACTGATCTGTTTCTCTCAATTTCCAGATTCTATTAAAAGCAACTTAATATCAGGGTAGACTTTCCATGTAATACACGGATTTAAGTGTGATGTACTACAGGCAACAGGCAACACTTGACGGAAGGATTGCTTTAAACATAATGGCTTTGCAAAATTACCCTTTTTTGTTCTTGATTACCTCCATGACAATCCTTTCAACACCGGTATAGATTAATCTCGCATTTAATCTTTAAAACAGTTAAAAAGTTTTGAAGCCTTTGGAATATCTATGCCATTATAAAAACAAACCATTATAAATACAATGTGAGACAGGGAGATTATTTGTGTGGCATATACAGAGTTAAGTTTGGATGTGAATGTAAAATAAGACACACACATGTGCAATTCAATTTAATGAATTTAAAATTAAAATATTTGTTATGACATTCATCATGATCATGCTTATTTACTTCTCTAAATTCTCTTCGATTTTAGCCATCACAATACCAACAAGTTCACTTACTTCTGTCACAAACTGCTCCCTCAAATGCTGGCTCACAAGTGCAGCCCCCATCGATATTACTGCAGTTAGCCCAGTCCACACATGTACAGCTCTCCATACAGTAATCTCCAAAAGTACCATCAGGACAGACTGAAATAGTTGCATTAGATATGAATACTTAAACATCAGCCCCTTTCTAAATAACAACAATCGTTTAAATAGTATTTTTACTCTACAATCAGACTACCAATCTCAGTTACGATGGCCTCGAACGAAACATGCCTTTCACAACTCGAACCTGAAAGATCCAGACAACCTTCATATTAATTGCTATTTCTCTTAATAACAGATTATTCATACCATCAACAAACTGTATGCAATCAGCAGCAATAATCATAATACCAGCTTTGCTTCATTTGTTTCATAAAGCATTTCTTTAGAAAAGGCCAGCAGAAATTCAAAAATTCTACATACACTTTATCTAAAAACTCTGTAGATATTAGCATTGCATTTCCCTACAGAAAGGATGCAGATTTACTACCACACTATGCATATTTTGTTATTCTCCTACATATGACATGGCACACAAAGGGTTAAAAAGAAATAAAAGAGAATTGGATTAGACCTAAGATATTAACAATAGTAAAGAATACAACTACATACTTTCTCCCAGCATACTCTTTGAAATAACCCTTTGAAATCATGAACTTCCTTTTGTTTGAATGCAGGATTTATAGTCACAAATTTGATCTGATTTAAAAAAAAATCAATCAATGTGCAAATGCACTTCTCATGGTAAATCAAATGTGCTATCAGCAACCTTACACTATGAACATGACTGACAAAGAAAGCGGACAAAATATACAGTTCTTCAGGTAGACAAAGAAACATCCCTTCACTGCTATTATGTAAAAATGTGTAGAACAGGTGTCACATGCATATTCACCTGTTCTACACATTTTTACATAATAGCAGTGAAGGGATGTTCCTTTGTTTACCTGAGGAACTGTATATTTTGTCCGCTTTCTTTGTCAGTCAAACGATTCAACCCTTTTATGTTCATAAATAAAAGAACAAGCATTGTCATGCCACTCATCCGCTATATGTGCAAGTTCACATACTAGTTTCACAATATGTTCCAATGAAGCCCGGAAGACAAGTGCAGTTGTAATAGTTTGTGGCATCAAAGCAGGTTCCATTGTTCTTGCAGGGCGTGGAGTCGCATTCACGAATATCTACACATTAGACGAAAAGGCATATGCATATTTGTATTTGAATAACCCTTTCAGCATTCTAAAACAGCACAACAACAACAACAAATCTCCAACGCCGGGCATTCTGCAATAATTTCAAAGATCTTAAGCAGTAATTTTTCTGCTACTTTTTTCCTTTGAATAATGCAAATTCTTAGGAATATTGCAAAGCTTAGTACCTATTAACTTCCAACAAACCTTGTTTAAATGATTACAATGATAAACAGAAAACTGTTAAGACTATAAAAAAAAAAGAATATTTTGTAAAACAGCAATTGAAAATTGAAGCTCCGAAGTATTTTGGAGGTAACCTCTTACTTTTCACATAAGCTCTCATGGATCTGAAATTTGAAAAATTTGTGAATCAAATCGATAATGCTGTTGTTAAGAGAACAAACAAACAGCTCATCTTAGAACTGCTTTTTAATGCCATATAACAAATATAATTGGATCATTTACCAAAGCTTCTATGGTGGTACAGAAAGAGATGATTAAATATTATCTGGGTGAAATAATAGAGGAACTAATAATAGAGTATAGATTTAGCCTTGGTTTCTTTAAAATCACGCGTTGTCATTTACTGGTATAAAACACAGTACATAGTGTTTATCTAAAAGTAAACTATGCTCAAATTTACCACATACATACATGATTATTATTTGGTACACAGGTTTTATTCTTCAATAAAAAGTTGATATTTTTGCACTGGTGAGATGTGAATTAGTAAATCATCATGCAAAATGTTTCTACTGAATATGTGATGGTATCAAAATAATTGTGAATGAGGACCAGTTGTGTGAACATTTTCATAAGATCTGCACTATACAGAACTTATTAAATTTCCCAAAATGACAGGGTTGCCTGTAGAGTTGGAATAATATTTGTCTTACCTCTTTGAAACAATGATTGTGACAATCTGGTTATTCTTGATAAAGTTTGCATCTCCGCAGAACTTTATTGGTTAATCTTAAGAGTCATAGAGATTGATCAATAAAGTTCAGAGAAGATATAAACTTTATCCAGCAAGATAAAATCATATTGTCACAGTCAACTCATGAAAAGAGGTATGGACAATATATTCCAACTTCATGGGCAACAATGTACCATATCGTTCATCTTAATCATGATTTTGGAATTATTATTGTGGGTGGATTGGTACAAACCCTCTGCGCAAACCCTTTAATGTATCCCTGTCTATCCAGGCATGCAGACATATGTGTAATTAGCATTACCGGGATTCTTTAACTGGTTTGTGCAGGTCGCACCATTGACACATGGGTTAGGGTCACATGCATCAATGTCTTCAGGACAAGGCAAACAATATCACAGCCACATAGGAAATGGGGATAACAGGGTATATACATGTAGATTAAAAATATATATTATGTTTCCTACATATATGCACCTGATACATACGTGTACTTACATTTATTACATTTTATCTGCACATGTGTATATTGCTTATTCTTCATGCTTTTTCTTGGAGACCCCTGTCAGAATAATTCCTCTTATTTCAAGATTGTTTCCACTACAGGTTTCAACTCTTGGGTATTCTAAATAAGTGTATTTGAAAGGGATAACTAAACTGCGTGATATGTTACCAAATTCACAGTGAGTTCCGTTGAATCCATCTAGACATGAGCATGTGTATGCATTGACCAAGTCCATGCAGGTTCCTCCATTCATACAGGGGCCGCTCGAGCAATCATCGATATCTGGACCAAAAGAAAAATAGTTTTGAATAGCTGAGAAGTGAGTATTAAAAAGAAAAAAAATCTCAAGATACAATGTCTTCCTGTAATTAAACATGATCACATGATCGGATACAATTATCATATTAATAATATTTGTTCGAAATTTTCTCGTAATATTGGTTTACTTTGACACATGCGACACTTTATTCCTTCACGAATTTTATTTTTGATGTAAAATGCCTTTATTTTACCCCATGTTATGTATTGTATTATTGTCTGGGCTAATCCTTATCCTTCAAAATTAATTAAATTACACCGTTAAAAAAAAAAAAAAAGGTATTACGCATTTGCTCAAATGCATACCATCTGGGCCCATCACGACCAAATTTTTATAAATTTAAAGCGCTTAACGTTTTTAATATTAATCGATTAAAATGGATATAATTATGCATCGTTACTTTTTAGATATATTACCGGAATACTTTTAATGTCCTTGTCCACAATTAGAATACTAGACAAACCAGTAGTTCCATCAATCAAAGGTCACATCTCACTCTCTTGTTATTATTCTATTCGGTTTGTTTGTCCCATTATATGGAATACATTTTCCCCCTTAATACGTAATACTCAATTAGGAAATTCAAAAGAATAAAGAGAATTTGGGACTGGAAAGGTTCTTTCAGTAATTTAGGAAGGGGCCCCTTTACATCAGCAATGTACCTTTGTTAGTTCGCATCATGTTATCAAATACAAATTACATACTTATTGATCTCAAATCCTTCAAATGTTTAAAATGTAATTTCAACACATATTGTTGTGCCACCAGTTTGATGTTCATAGCCATTAGTACACATGCAGCTGAAGCTACATGGCATAGTCATAAAAATGATTGCTGTATCATCACATGAGCATGGACCAAGGCACTAATCAATATCTGCTCAGAAATTAAATCACAGCATAATTATTAAGCAAGATCAAACTATAACAATCTATATCCATTCACAATGTAGGCACACATTACTCCATTCAACACAAGAACCCATTGGATTATCCAGGAAAAGAAAAATCATTTCATTTGATCAATGACCTGTTTAAATCAACATGACCGTTAATATTAAAGAAATATTAAAGAAAACTATGATAAGATCAAGATGTCAAAAAGTTTATCATGATTGGGTTGAACAGGTGAACTATACGAATGAATTAAAGATAAAGATATTTTGTACATGTACAAATTGTATGTAATTCCTTTAAACAATATTGAAAGGATATTTTGCACCCAAAACCCTTGAACCGCAAATTTACCACTTCTGGTTTATACCTTGGCTTTATGCTTTTTTAATGAAAAAAGAGAGTGTGCATGTATAGATAAATTTGACTAAAGTTGCATTTGATTTTAAATAAGAATATTATCCCCAAGGAATAAAGTTTTGGAATGAAAATGATAGTCAAGCAGGCTATTTCTTCAACTTCAAAAAAAAATAATGAAAAAAGGAGAGTATGCATGTATAGATAACTTTGACTAAAGTTGCATTTGATTTTAAATAAGAATATTATCCCCAAGGAATAAAGTTTTGGAATGAAAATGATAGTCAAGCAGGCTATTTCTTCAACTTCAAAAAATTCTTTTAATTTTATATTAATAATCCTATTTGCATAGTGAATGTGAACGTCAATTGAATTATAATAAAAGCTTATTAAATGAAGCTATATAAAAGAATATGTTGATAATTTCATGAAAGCTACAGGCTTTTCTACCTTTTGTGGCAAAATGAACATCTACATGAATATTCTTCTATTTCTAAATAAATATTGAGGACCTTGAAGAAGCATCTGGAAGATGATAAACAGATCTGAACAAAAGCTCAAGAACGTTTCACGAATGACAGGGATTAGCTTGTACAAATTTCATATGTTTATAAAAACTTGCAAGACTAACTTTGATTCATATGTTCACAGTTTGAAGTACGCATATGTACACAATGAAGGTAACCTCTAAAAAGCAATCACCAAAAGAAAATAATTATCTTTTATTGGCTTTTTGGCAAAATAATAATAATGATAATAATAATAATAATTACATTGAAGTGAAATACCGATATTTCTATTAAATTTAGTGTAATAGTTAGGAACAATTGTAAGCCGTTCTAAAAAACTTGCGATGAACTTACCTAATGTAGTGGTTGGTCCCATCGCTAATTTTTTTTAAAGTGATGTAAAGAGAAAAGAGAGAAAAAGAGAGAGAGAGAGAGAGGGAGAGAAAGGGGGAGTTACAGTTGAGAAAATGGAAAAAAGATAGAGCTTTTACTTTAAAAACAAATAAGACCTGGTGCTATATTAGGCATGTTTTTGTTTATTTGAAGTCATTGGACAACTCTCGGAAGTATACTTTTTTTAATTAGTAAACCGATCTCAATCAAATTCCACGAAAATTGATATTATTATGCAAATAAATTAGGACATTAATTTTTACCATATTTTACCCTGTTATGAAACAGATTAGGCAAAAATATTAATCAGCAGACCTTCTTTCTTATGACAAAGGCATTTGAAAATTTAAAGAATTTTACAATTTTTCTCAGATTTTTCTTCTTCTTATTATCCATTACCTATCCATGACCTATTTTATAATTCCCTATAAAATCTCACATCCGCTCATAAATATGGATATACTCCTTTATCAACTACCAGAAAGAGGAAATTAATGTTTCCCATAATGATGAGTTTATCACAACTAATGAATCGTTGTTTGGAAGAGGAAAACATTGTGTTTAATCCATTGGCACAGAAAGATATCAATAATTTTCTTATTCTTTATCAGATAAAAAAAACTCCACTCATGTGTGTTTCTCTCATTTTCTACCTTAATGTAATCAAAGTTGTTGCCAGTATAGACTTCTATTATACAAGGTCAAAATGCATTTTGCACATAAATCTAGGACCTTGATCATTTTTTTTAAATCTAAATTTCGAACACTTTGCAAACTGTAATTTTGCTATAATATCTTATTTCATTGCTATGGAAATGTGAATTAAAGCTGCTCACCGTGTTAGCACACTAATAATAAATACCTACAATTCCAACAGATAAAACTGAATTTCGTCTACTATTATATTTCAAGAAAATTAAGCAATTTCATCTCTCTAGAATAAAACTGTGATTATGATAAACAATTAAATTACTTGTTTCTCCATTGATTGCTCCAAATAGAAACCTACATATCGGGAAAGAGAGAATAAATGATTTAATTTGACTCTATCACACAATAAAATTACAAAGTACCATCTCTATTAATTGTATCGTAAATATTCAAGAGTCTAATTCTATTCACCGGGCTGTGCTCATAAGTGCTCCATGGTAATTCCCCCAACTTAACTTCTTAATTTCAACTCGGGACCAAACATTATGCCTACCCCTAACCTTAACCCTAAATATAGCCTAAAACCCATTACAACCCTAACCATGTACTTGTATTTATGAGAAATTATAGTCTGGAGCAATTGTCACCTGAGCAAATGTTGGATCACTGCCGTTTTGATGCAGAACATGGAGGTGCACAAGTACATATATTTAATACATGATGTCCCTGATAAACAAATCCCAAGTTTATGGGTAAATTACTCATTATTCCAAAATTATTTTTTAGTTAATGAATACATCATGATCACAAGAAGTTAGAAATGTATTCTTCTTTCACATGTCATACAAAGCATGATAAATAAATCACACATGGGCGCTATCAGACAGTGTGAAGTGAAATTGTCAGTAGCCCATTTGTCCAAAATAAGTAGGTGGCCGTTACCTTTTGTTCATTATGGTTTTCGTAAAAAAGAAGAAAAGAAATGATTTGGAATTATCAACTTCTCAATATCAACATCAATACAAAGTTGATGTTGATGACAGGATGACGCTCAAGATGGAAGGATAAGGCTTGACTAAACAGGTAGCACAATTTGCAATCGCTATTTTGTTTGAGAAAATGAAAAGATTTGGAATCAATTAGTAATTTGCCGATGATCAGGTGTCCATGTTCTGGGACACAATGAACTGTGAATACTAGATTAGGAATAACAAACCTGTCAATATGAGCAATGAGCACAGATACCTTCCACCTCTCCAAACCATTTTGATGATCTTCTATCGTGCACTCCTGTATCATACAGAAAAAGAAGAGGAGAAAACAGCTAGGTATAAATATTTAAGTTTTTAATTCTTGAGAATATAACATATTGAAGCTTGCATCTAAAAGCATTCAAGGAAGGCTTGTATTCATCCAGTGGCCACCTTTTATTCTTGAGTAACGAAAAGCAGGGGGGGACATCAGATTTATAAGGGGTATGAATAATTTAGTTGTTCACTGTACATGTACTTTTATTGGATCTATTAGGCAAAATACTTTTTACACAATTATTTTACAGTTTAGCTCCATGTATAATTGATTTCAATGTTGGCAGCATGAAATATACAGTTCTAACTTTATTCATGTAGCACATGTAGCAATTACTGATTAGTGTCCCTTGCACAGTAAATGTGTTTGTTTATTTATTTGTACTTTTCTTCTATTTCTTTCAATAATGAGGTAGCCAAATTGCTGGAAAAATTTAGGTCTTTGGTCTTCGGCACAGATTTTCACTATAAAATGTCATAATGTCTATGATTAAGTTGACTGAATCGGTGTACTAAAGACACAAACAGACCGGAAAGACCTAAAATGTTCCATCACAAATACAGATCATTTTCAGCTTCCTTGATATTTGTTTATCCAATGTATAATGTACAATATACTTGTCCATGTTTCAGCAGTTACATGGGGAAGATATACATTTCAAAAGAATCGGTAAATTACACCAATGTTGGGTTTAAAAGGCAACGTGCATTATACAGTATTAGGTTTAATGAACCCCACATTTTGTAAAATATACCCAATGCGGGGCAAAATTATCGCACAGTTGGGTATTAGGCCTATTTCACGCTAAACAAAATGCATCTCAATTGTTTTCAACCCAGAATTATGGGTAAAATGTTATCCAACCTTTATTTTGTACAGTTGTATTCACACCACATCGTTACATGTATCCGATAATGTTACGGAGACTTACCTCAATCTCTCACATCTATCTGCATATCTATTTGCACGCTAAGGCCCTATCGTATACCAGTCCTGTATTGGATATACATACGGCTCTCCATAGAAACCACGTCAGGAGTATCAGGGGACCATATATATGCTGTCTGCAAAGCTGATGACATTTGCTCAGGGCATGCGGCAAAGTCTCGGGGGAGGCAGGGTCATTATGACGTTTTATAAATTGGGTTCAAGAATGTAGCCATTGAGAAGCGTCGAAGTGGATCGCGTGTGCACATCTAACAGTCCCTAATGAAATCGACAAGTCTCGTTCATTATCCTACCGTGAATCACTGACCTTTACCACCTGGACGGATCATCGCTCATTCCCGGCCGTACGTGCTAACGCTTGAAGCGGGCTCGCACGCGCGGCGGCCATTTTACACTTCCAAGAGCGATACGGCTCACTATACATTACGTACTAAAAGGCTGTATTGTCTGACAATTTTTCATTACCTGGGATGTTAGCTTCAGTTTTTATTATTATCAGAGGCCTTAGAATTGAAATCAAGCCCCTTGTTTTTATTATTCTCTAGAAAGAATATATACAAATGCATAATTAATCGTACAAGGTGCACGTTAAAATTCCTCCTTCTGAACACTTTCCCAAAGTCCTCGAAGGCTATCCCGTTTCCTCTCTCTCCCTCCCATCTCTCTCTGATTGATTGATTGATTGATTGATTTTTATTCGACAAGCTTCCAACATACAACAATATACAATAATAACTAATCAAAAATAAGTCAGCTTGAACAGGATAACCCACGAAAGCTCGAGAGCTTATTTCCAGCGGGGTCCCTTACAGACATGTATAAAATTAATAAGTTAGAATAGTAATATTTACAGACAGATAAGAAAATTAAAAGAACTACTTATTAAAGATAATAATAATAATAACAACATTAAACTAATGATAGAAATGATTATTAAGTACAAGAAGAAAGAGGAGAAGGAAGAAGAAGAAAATAATGATGAGTTTGTAGAATTTCTATAACGTACGAAACCATAAGTATATACAACATGAAAAAGTATGAACCGAGTCTCGATATTAATGTTCATTTGACTCTAAAATTGTCAGCCAATTATTTTTGAATATATAGTACCCTCTTCTTCTCTTGATACTTTTTAATGCATTGCAATTCTCCTTTCTCTCTTTTTTAAACTGTCTCTCTCTTTCTAACTGTCTCTCTTATTCGAACTGCTTTCTCACTAGTGTACCTTTTATTCTCTCTCCCCCCCCCCCCTCTCTCTCTCTCAGTCTCTCTCTCTCTCTCTCTCATTCTAACTGCTCATTGCACTCTATCTGAAGTCGATCACAAGGTCCGCGGTTCGAGACCCGCAACGGCACTAATGTCCTTTGCCAAGACATTGATCTACATTTGCCACATTTAACCCAGGTGATGTAAATGGTACCTGGCAGGAATTTATTCTTTGAAATGCTAGAGCGCCGCAATGGCAGCACAGCTAAAGTCGGGGTAATAATCTCCAAGTTTGGAAGCGCTTAGTGATTCTAATACGCGCTCTATAAACCTGAGTATTATTATAATAATAATTATTATTATCTCTCTAATTCTAACTGCTCACTCTATCTCTCTCATTCTCACCGTATTTGTGTTTCTCTCCTTCTCTTTCTAATTGCTCTCTCTCTCTCTCTCTCTCATTCTTTATGTGTATGTCTTTCCAACAGCTCATGCACTCTCTCCCTAACTGTGCTCTATCTTTTATCCGTTCTTCTATCTGCTCTCTGTCCTTCTAACTTTCTTTCTATGCATAATATTTCTCCCCTTCGTACATATACATCAGAAGGTTTATTTTCAGGGTGGGTGACTGTAAAAAGTGTTCCAGTATTTTTAATTAAATGATATTAAATTGATCATGTGACATCTTGACATCTGTTCACAAAATTGTCTTCCTTTGTGGTAGTTTAGTACAGTTATTATCTATATAGGGCCTATAACAGGTGACCCGTGAAGGAATGTAGGAAGTTCAGATACTTCCACAGTTCTAGAAGAATAAAGACTACTAGTAAACCGATGGGCCGTGAGAGTAGTGAAAGTGCCAATGCTTCTCGACGTTTTACTAATTACTTATTGTATTTATATGCATAAACTTCAATATAGTCACTCATACTGTAGTTAGCATGACGTTAAATGGGGGTAAGTCTATGATAAATATACAAATAATACCCTTTTCAAGTAAGACACTGGCGTTGTTAACTTTAGTTTAAGACGTTATCGTGACTGTCTATTTCAAGTTACAATTAATAAGATAATATTAATTATGACTACAGTAGACTAAACGTTAGGAATTAAATCTACTTAGTCTATAGTCAAAATCTACTCCAAAATATGCATTGGATTGCTATAAATTTTAGTATAGATTATCAGCAATTGAAATGATCAGAATCAGATTGAATTGAGTTTCCATTGGCATTATGTCATACGTGATACGTACATGAAATAAAAAACATGGGACTACACAGAGCGCTAGACGCGAAGTACTTCCAACTTCCAACCTGCTTTTAAAATACATAGGACACATAGTTGAACTTTCGAATGTAATATCTGTCAACATTTTTTATAATACTGGTTTGAGAAATTAATTGCAGAATATGCAGGCATTTTCAACTATTACATTCCTCAAAACAAAGCTCAGAAACAGAACCTGCAGTCGAATTGTACACAAATCTGTATTCCAACCCTCTCGCACGTCGATTTTTCGGAAGTGCAACATGGCAGACCCACGAAGTCAGTCCTCTCAGCCAATAGTGTGGTACGGTATGTCACTGAAACAGCTCCCGTAGGACTTGTGTACCAAAGTTGATTTTTTTTTTTTTTTTTTTTTTTTTTTTGTATTTTTGGATTCTTTGGGGTCCAAACCATCAGAAATTGATGGGGTTTAAATTTTCCCGAAGACACCAATTTTCCTATTGCGCGTTATATATGCCATTTTGGCGCCCAATATGAAGGAGAAGTCTGAAAAATTGAACCCCATCATTTTTTGGTCAATTGGGACCCTTTAGCAACCAAAACAGCAACAACAAAAATCAACTTTGGCAAAAAAATTCTTCGGGATTACATACCATACCGCACTACAATGAAATATCCAGGTGTAGAGGTCAGTGCCGTGAATAGTAACCTGCGTGCAGTGCATATTCACCAATTCACTCACAAGCTTCTATTATTTGTACAATTCAGAAGGTGCGCAGTTATCGTAATTATTTTTAGTGCGCATTTCCTCAAACTCCCAAGCAACGTGAGGCTTTTTGTATGACATTCATATTTATCGTACTTCATTTAAATCAAGAGTTGTTATTCCTGGCTTCCTAGGTAAATATAGTATTTATTCGCCCCTTCGTGCTTTTGTTTGAGGGTACTCGTTCTAATTTTTTCCCTCATATCTCCTCAAACTACAACGGCGTGATGCCTTTTATCTGAGATGTATATCAATCATACCTTAAACGATGCTCGTTTTGCAAGTAAATATTCCATGTATATTCCCTCGTTTGTTACTCTGTTATCATAATTATATGTCCGCGGTCATTTCCTCAAACTATAGCGATATGAGGCGTTTGTAAAAGACCTAAACTATAATATCTCTTGAGATTTTAGGTGAATAGTGTAAATTCTCTCCTAGATGTTTCAAAATTCATACGTTATTGATGATTATTAATAATAACTTATCCAACTTATATTAATACGTACTTAAGTTTTAAGAGAGGCTTACCATAACAAGCCACGCTTTTCAATAAGCACCACATTTTCAAATGTCACATAGAAATCGTTTTACCTTCAATGATGTTCAAACTGTCAAATTTGTTTAAATGTCAATAATGTAATTAAACTATTGCAATTTTTTATGAAATATGCTCCATTTTGTTATGATGTTTGATTTCTGTATAACATTCGAACATGTGAAATAAATAACTTCAATTCAAACTAATAGCTCATAACGAACGACTTATCCCATTTTCTACTAGACATGTGCAAGGTGAGGGGTTGGGATCGGCCCCATCTGCATAAAACGTCGTACTGATTTTATTACCTTATTTGTTTTTACTGGCCATAAGTGAAACGAATCTTTAAAACGGGTATTGAGATTTGTTTTGAAAGTAAAAGAAGCCAAGGAGGGCAATGGAGTAATAGTACAAATAAAAAATATTACGAAATTTCAATTTTCTAAACAGCGGGGCAGAATGGGCACGATAATGACATTCCACTTAATTCTTGTTTATTTTGTTTCCTTCAGAATTAATCTAGAGGCTTTAGAAATCACGAAGAAAACTCCCCTTTTCGCTCTGTTTAATGTGCCTTTGGAAAATTCGTTAATTTATGTCATGTTTACGTTTTCAATTATCAACAATAGGATCACAAGTCAAGCACACGATACACAGTGCACAGAACAACATGCATATTAAGTTGATCAGATTATGGGTTGCCTATATTCTGTACTGGTATATAAACACGCACCCACGCAGGCACACATTAACATTGCTAATGAAAAAGCTACATAATGTCCCCCTTTTCACTCTGTTTAATGTGCCCTTGGAAAATTCGTTAATTCATTTCATGTTTTTCATTTATCAACATCAACAATGGGATCACAAGTCAAGCGCAAGATACACAGTGCACAGAACACAATGCATAAGTTGAGCAGCCTCAAATTCAGGATTGCCTTTATTCTTTAATTGTATATACACACGCACCCACGCAGGCAGACATTAACCAGGGACATGATATGTCCCTGCATTAACATTGTCAATGACAAAGCTACATATGTCCAGGGACATGATATGTCATTGTTGTATTACCACAGTACCCAATAGGATCATTTTTTAATCACGCGAATGATGCTATCTGTCTGTTTTGCAACTCATACCATCTAACCTTTAAAGACGCACGGTGGTGGGCTCTCATTGAGAATTCGACACCTGTCCATTCGGGTGTTTACCAAATCACAGGTATTGTCAATCGCCAGGATTAGCCTTAAGTTTTACGACCAACGAGCCTTACGTAATACTCTGCGTATTCCACCAATTTCCCCATATGGTAAAGTCGTTATCTTACATTTACCTCACCCGAATACTTTACTAGGTACTATATAGGGGTTATTTCTTGATGTGACTACGGTTTGTTGAGTGCAGACTTGTACACGCAATGGTATTTTCATTAAGTCTGGTGTCAGCAAATTATGAACCACTGCACATGGATACTGACGACCGCTCACTTAAACTTCCTAATATTGAAAACCATAAAATATCGAAATCAAAATCATAAGATTGAAGAAAAAAAGATAAAATGAAGAAGAGCAGGCATCCCCTGTACCCAACCACATAAATTAAGGCCAAGAAGAGAGATTTTCTTGCTGAAAAAACGGACCATCAATGGCTATATTAGGAAAAATTGTCTTCCCCTTTCGCCAAGGTCCGGCGCTACAATTGCTTACTATATTTATTTTCTTTACATCTAAAAATCGACAAGTAATGAGTTGTGACAGTCTGTGCTATATCCGGTATTAAACATATGTCAATTTCCATCTCTCTCTCTCTCTCTCTCTCACGTTATACTTATACTTACATTTTAGAATTGTAGTACTTTGTTAAATTTTATGATGTAAACGCAAACACATGCACAGCCCAATTGGGTTAACTTTCTCTTTCAGTGAACATGCCTTCCTATACTTAATTCTCTTCTCATTTTCTTCTTCCATTTACTATTTTTTTTCTTTCCTATATCAACGTTCTGTTATACAATATGTAATTTTCATAATGATATCTATAACGTTCTCTCAGTAACTGTGTTAAGTTATAATAGGCGTTCCCAACTAAAGCTATGCTTTTCGGGTTTTCGCCTCCTTTCGTATCTGAATTATTTACTGTATACTCTATGTCGAACTCATTGTTACATATATAATTTATATATGCATTATGTTTCATATTTTACTGTTGAGAAGAAAATAAATGTTAATATTAAAATACTATTTGAAAATTAAAATAGGAAATAATTATAAAGGCCATTTTCCTGTTTGAAATTTAAAAACTCCCGTTCGCCCTTCCCTGGCCTGCTCCTCACTTTATTTAAGGTTCTTTTCTTACAACTATTCTGGTACAAATTGCATTATTACAATTTCACAGAGTTTGATGGCAAATATAAAGCAAAATATTTCCTCACTGTGCAACAATTTACAATTGAAGAACCCTAGTGTCGCTCTTGTATATCATGAATTCGTATTCCCCTTCGACAAGGTCGTTATTCACAGTTTGATTAATAGGTTTTGACGGTTGATATTCGTGGTATGAATGGTCTACTTGTTGGTTTCCCGTGCTTGTTGTTGAATGTGCTGCCGGTAACGGGTCTGTGCACATTCGGTGAGTCGTGGTGAAGCCTGCCGGAGCAGCGGGGGAACCCCTGTTCCTTTGCCGTCGAGATCTAGGGACCAGAAAAGAAGAGATTACCAAGGGTAGAGAATTATTTAGACTTAGAGAGGGAATGAGGGTTAACTTGTCACATGTGATTTATTCAGAAAACAGAGAATTATAACTTGTTTGTTGCGACTGTCATTCACTTTGACATTATCCTTTGCATGCATGCTATAGAGGGTAATACAATAACATGTGAATGAAACCTATTTCTTTCTTCTATAATGGTCCATAGTTATGATTGTGTACCTAAATATTTTACACTCATCCTCTATTCATCTCTTTATTTCTCGCCTCTCCTCTCTTGTCCTCTTTCCTTCGCCCCCGTGATTTAATTTGACAGCACCGCTGTTCTACCGACCTGTCCTATAAAAAGGGATACACTTTGACATGATTTCCCCTCTCCCTGTCTTTATTTCCTTTGTTTTTTCCGGGGTTTTTTCCCGCAATATTAGCATTGATACTCTCTACTTGATTAAAATGAAATGAGTACAAATTACCTTTTTCGTTTACGGAGACAGATGAATATCACGATGACTCCGATGACGACAAGAGTCACAGCTATACAAACTATTGTCAAAGTCACATGTGTGCCACTACCAGGAACTTCAACTTCAAAATGCAAAGATATCAAATCAAGAGCAATTTCCATACCATATCAGAGATCCTATATAAATCATGTTAGGATTACATAAAGCTTCATCATACTATCTGAACATTTCAATAAATGACGGAAAAGGCTATTGAAATGGCTTATATAACGCGCAATAGGGAAATTTGGTGTCTTCGGGAATTTTGAACCCCATCAATTTCTGATAGCTTGGACCCCAATGAATCCAAAAATGCAACCCAAAAAAAAAATCAACTTTGGCACAAAAATCCTACGGGAGCTGTTTCAGTGATATACCATACAACACATTTTAACCGGAACCATGATGCCGGAGCCTCTAACCCAATTACTATTTATGACGATTTTATGGAACTAATAAATACTTGTAGGTACAAAAATTTAAAACAAAATGAAAGAAAACCCGTCAGTTCTTTAAATTATTTTCTCAAGTCTATGTGAATATAATTTGTTGGAAAAGGTATTAAATGAATAGGGAAAAATCAATAAATAGGATTTTTGAAATGCAGAAAAAAAATAAAGAATTATTTCAGCTCATAATAAAAAAGTGAATTCCTGGGTAATGGGAAGACAAAAATTAATATATTTAAATATTCACCTTTGAGTCGAATTGGTTCTATGAATGGTCCATTCACAAAATAAACATCCTTTAAGAGTGAGAAACAAGTAAACGAAAATAAAGAAGCATAAAACCATTCTGTAATGAGTATTTCAAGAAATTTAAATTCATTTTTTTTCTTTTCGGGGGGGGGGAGGAACAAACTAAGAAAGTCATAATAAGTTATCAATTCATGGTCGCGTAATCGGCTCTAAATGATTGCTTACTTAGCTTTGTTCCTCCTCCACCATTGAAAGTAAATAAAAATTATTTCGTTTTTTTCCTATTTATTTGTGTTCTTGATCGGATTTCATTACATGTGAAGTAGAATATCATTTTGCATTCTATTATCTTAATCACAAGAAAGAAGGAAAAACATGAAATTTGATGTACAAAAGGCATGGAGAATTGTTCACAAATGATGTCATCAAATTGAATATCATTTCAAAAAGCGTTAACTTCCTTATTCCTTGCCCGATTTTGTTCAAATTTTCACTGATTTTATTCAAATATCTTAAACTTTACAATAAAAGTAACTTGTATGAAGGTTTTGGTTCCCAGTTCCTAATTACCATATTCATGAATACCATATGAACAAAATGCCAATTGTTTGGGTGTGTACATGCATGCAGTGAGGATTTTATAAATCTGTGTGTGTGTTCCTACTATGAGTATTGTGCTGCTAATTATTTCAGAACAATAGTTTCAGTTATGAGGCTAAAAACAAGTAAAATTATTAATAAATAGAGAATTAAAATCATATTTCCCGTTTTTTACATATTTACCGGACGCGCATCTCATTTACCGGACGGTACTTACCGGTATTTACCGCCGGTAATTACCGCCACCGGTATTTACCGCCCAACCCTGCCCTGCTCAACCAAAAAATCAATATGCCTCTCCCCTACCCCCACCCTCATCGTAGGTAAGCAAAGGTTGTTTTTTTTTTACCCCATCTTGATGAGAAGGTGAGTACACTCTGATAAAGCAGGAATAAAAGCTGTCCGGATTCAAAGGACCACCGGTTGAATGCAGGGTCGTTGCTCTCACAGTAGCTCGTCTTTTTCGATGATCTTCATTTGCTTCGCCCCAAGTGTTGCATTCAGATTGAACTTCATATCGAGAGCCCACTGTGATCACATTGCCAGCTGGAATGCTAGTTATGATACATGAGAGAAGTTTGTTTGCATCTTATCTATAACTCAATATTATTAGCGAAATAAACACATCCGAACAATATAATTTAATATATGGCCTGCACCACAGTACATTTAATTGTTTATCTTAAACTGAAGAATTTGTTCGAGATAAAAGATGATTCAGACACGCAAATATATTTGACTTGAAACTTAAAATCTTACCCCTTTAGTACACTATCATTATGCCTCACGAGCACTTATTCTACACCATTCATGCCAGGATCAAGTAAAACTAACAGGAACACTTAAACCTGTGGCTTTTAAAATGTCATCATTTTTATTCAGATACTCGTTATGAATTCCTGAAGAGGGGGAGGGGGCATATGTTCCAAATATATCATGATCCAGTTACTTTGCTATATTGCTTACCTGAATAATAATTACTTCATATCATTTATAATTGAACTGTTTCATCGAAACTGCTTTTTACAGGAAATAAAGGCTCACTACTTCTTTACAAAAAAAAAGATCACACTTACGTCGAGAAGACCATCGCACTGAACGGGGTTCCTATCCGGTTTCTTGCGATGCTGTAGTCCCTCGTATTGTTAATGCCGTAAGCATTGTCATTGGAATTAATACTAGTTGTTTCATCATACAGCTGAACAACGATGACTTCAAAGCAACTATATATATAAGATATAGATCGAAACTTTATTGACAAGAACATTATTCTATATCATACTGCAAAATACTATGATAAGTCGTTTTGCTAATATTTATAATGAGTTATTTTACTCCAAAATGCCAGTATATAATTCAATTCAATGTGATATACTTTAATTCAATTCAGTTCACCTTGAAATGAAAAAAAACCATATCATACTTATACCATCGCAATAAGTAAAAATAACCATAACACATGTTTAAGGTGTAGGGGCCTAAATTACAGAAATGGGAATCCACCAAACATGCTAGAAAGTAATAGTCCATGCTTGTATAGTTGGCATAATATTGTAGAACCGGAGGAGTTCATTACAACCTTTTTATGTCAAACAAAATACGAAGATTCATGCATCATATCGTCGTACAGGGGCTTTTACAGACCTTGGCCTCATAATTCATTCAATCGAATGTATTTGCCTTTCCAATGTTTTTTTCGCTCACATGTAAAATAAGGGCACTGACTCGGAACCTTGAGGGGCGAGACGTTAAATCTTACAGAGAGATACATATTAGTCACAGTTTTTTCTATGTTTTACAACGTTTACTGTCATTGGCGTTATTAATCTTGAGATGTATACGGTACCCTCATATTCGTATGTTTCAAGTTCGGCATCATCACACGTATACCTGCCGATCACCCGCGAACAAGCAAATATTGTTCAGGTATAATTATCTTATAATAAAACGCTTTCGATAATACTTATTGACGTACAAATGTTTTCCTACCTAGGTGAGAGTTATTTAATGTTCTCCTTGGTTTGAAATATGTAAAGAGGGGCAACTGCCATCCTGTTCCTCTTTAAGATATGCTAGTGCCCTAGTACCAGTGATGAAAAATGAAAATACCTGATAGGTCCATTTGGATTGCGATAAGCCGGTATGTTGATGTCAAAACTGTAATCTCTGATGCCACCAGATACGATGGTTGGTGTAGGTGGTTTTACTGGAACTAAAACATCCAAAACAACAGTAAAATTCGATGGCAAAAAATGATGTCTATTTTAATCGGAAGGGTAATATAATCCCAAATAGATTGAAAATTGTCCCAAAGCTGATTTCTTAAAAGTCTTTACGATCACATTAACACAACGGGTCGGCGGATTCTTGATTTTAAAAGGGAATTTTTTGAAATTCAGGTATTGAAAGCAAGATCAATCTAAAGATTTAAAGCTTAAACATCAATGTATCATTGTACTCAAATGATAATATTCTTTAAATATGATGATATGTTTTCCTTTGCAATGAGACCAAAACCTGTCGGAATATATCTGATTTAAAGCAAGGAAAGTATGGCAATTCATTATATTTTAGTGGTAACCCTTTTTTCGAACACCATTTCAGTGATTAAACGTATTTGAATTTTCGTAAACATAATAATTTTCCACAAAGATCAAATGAACGAAACGATGGAATTATGTAGATCTTTACATGTATGTCCTGAAAGATTACCTGTTTGCAATGTTGTAAAGATCTCACTGTAGGCCAATGAACTATTCAGCTTCATATGATCAGATATCCGTAGCTCTAATGCAAACGCTACCACAACAGCTCTGTACGAAAGGTAAGGCCGAAGGACCAAAGTATGTTCCAAAATATTGGCAGTTACATCTGTATCAAAGCAACAAAATAACAAACAAATCAACCTATTAAGTTACATTGTGATTTGAGATGGGTGACCATGTAGATTTAGGTCGAATTGACATCTAGCAGTGCAACCTTTTGCAGAGAATAGTCATTTTTTGCGAACAGATAACTGTCAAATAGCTCCTATGTCATATAATGGCTTAAGTTAAATATTAGGATTTTATTAATATTGCCACCCCCCCCCCTTTCATTTCAATAGTTAGAATAAACATTTGCAAAGACAATTTATATTCTGTTCTCCATGACAGTTATTTTTCTGAGCAGACAAAGTAGAGATTTGCGTGGGAAAAGGATAATAGGAACCACCCAAATGATATAGACGTTTACGTATATATGTCAGGGATCGTTAATTTGCAGGGGCCGGTCATAACGAAATGACCTCAACCGAATTTCAGTTCCAGTACGCCCCTAGTCCAGAATCTGCCCGGTCCTTTATAATTCCCTACACACTTTCAAGCCGTCGAAGATGGCGTTATCAACAAACTCATAATTATGCTTACCAGCCCAGCCTTCGCCGGGCGTCTTAATTTGATCACGCCACCATCGGCTGGTAGCAAGTAAGTAGGGAGAGGTAGCGTTGGTGTGGTGGAGATCAAAATTAAATAGGCCAGATTCTGGTCTAGTACGCCCCATGCACCCGTTACACATTTATTTCCATACCTGTTGTATCTGTTGTACATGAGAGTGAAGAACAGCTTACAGGGACAGCATACACAGTGTACCCGTCCACAGGTCCATGGCTGAACAGTGGTTGTGTCCAGGAGACGATGGCTGAAGACTCTGTCACTTCCTTGACCGATACGTTGTTAGGAGGACCCGGTTCTACAAAAGAGTGTCAAATTATATCATGATTGACCATGCGAGCGGGGTGGGGGTGGTTCGCTAGAAAAGGGGATGAAAATATCCCCCGAAATTTCAATCAGCAAAATGATGTGTAAACAGACCTAGATCATATGTGAACAGTTGTCGGGTCCAGGAGACTACCGCTGAAAAATCGGTCACATATCATTGACCGTTGCGTTTAGTAGGAGGCCAGGTTCTGTGTAAGAACTTCCAATTGTAGATGTGTAAATTGGTTGAAATCTCCTCTTAATATAATATTTAGTTCAAAATTTGTTTGATTTTAAGAGTTAGTAGGTTGTCAATTCTGTGGCTGTCGTTGACAATCTAACAACCTAGCACACGATCGTTTCGTTTGTTGGTAAATTTGCCTTGATTGCATTTATTGATAACTTTTGGAGGCACAAGAATCTACTCCTTTACAAGTACTTTTTATACATGTATAATATAGCTGTCTAAATTGAGAAAATTTGTAAATTCTCAGGAAATATGCATAGATTTCCATCGTGGCAATGGTAATTTTATAAATTATATGAAGTATATAAGCATTAGAATAATGTATTCATACATCGAGATAAAACTTGGATCAAAATTAGAACTCTGTATTTGATGTAACTACGATTCGATTGTTTCATCCTGTCAAGGATATCTAATTGAGACTAATTAATGCCATTTCTTTCTTTCAACAAACTTCGTTATATTATTCTCTCACCGGCTTTCAATGTTGTGAATTCCTCGCTTGTCGCCTGTGAACTGTTCAGTATATCCCCGGGACTAGGTATTCTCGAGTCAATGGTGTATGCAATGACAATTACTCTGTATGTGGCAAACGGATCCAAATGTAGATTTTGGCTCACCGCTTCTGTCTTAAAATCTGGAATAAGAACAAAAAAATGAGACCATGTATATTGACTTTTGATTTGATTTGATTTACCAACAGCAATCCAGTAAACATTCCATACAATGTGTTTATATATTATACAAGAAGAGAAACTATTAGTTGGTAAAAGGGGGCAGATACTAGTACATGTCTAGCCTAACCCCTTAAACAGCTAAACAATAAAGAGAGAAAACAATTTATAATTATATTTATTCTTACAACCAATACATTAGACAACATTTGGTAAAATGTCATCATAACATGAGAAAATATAATATATCACAAAATTTATTTTTTTAATAAATAAATAAATTCGAACTAAAATGTGCATGATTATCTTGCATTTCAACACCGTGGAGCATGAGCTGGACAAACAGTTCTGAAGCTCTGTGAAGACCACGTATCCGTCGACTGTTCCATTCCCTCTGGTTACACGAGGGGGTTCCCATGATACAACAGCTGATGTTTGCGTCACTTCCGTTACCAGTACGTTGGTAGGTGGATGGGGCTCTGGCAAAGAAATTGGTAGTTTGTTTGTTTGATAACATTTCTGCATTTTCGACATAATAAAAAGTAATATACAAAGTAGGTACATACACTTTAAATAAAAATCGAAATACACATATAAAAATGTCGTATTAAAATCAATCACATAATTATACCTATCCACACAAAAACCCACATAGTTGACAAATCATTTTACAAATTGCATTTTTCCCCGGTTCCCAATATAAACAAATCTTCTGTGTGCCCATGCCTCCAGCCGTAATGCATGGCCTTCCAGAGAATTTTTTTTATGTTGGGGACTAGGTCAAAATGCAATAAATTATTGAAAATTTATTGCATTTTCTGTGTTTTTTTTTATTTTTGGAAACCGCCCCCTACCCTAGCCCCCGATGCGTACAGTCATGGTTCGGTGACAAAACAATGGCCTCGTAACTGTGATGCCCCGGGATCAAAACCGTGTCGATGTGCTATATTAGTGCCCTTTTGTGGGGCATTAATCCTCATTACTGTCATTTATGACTTGAGGGCGTAGGTCCCCTATTTAATAGGCATAGTAGCATATACATGCTTTAGCAGTCCCGCAAAACACACATTGGCAAATTATTATTCAATAAAATCTGAGAATGTATACTATTTTTCAGATCTATTATTTTTAAATAATTTTTAAAATAATTCCATGAATTGGGTAAAACTAAAATATTCCACCTTTATGAGCGACAGTGTATATGTTTAAGAAAACGCTATGAACGTTGTCATTTTAATAGAAAGAACTTCAAACCATATTTAAACTCTTTGATCCTGAACACTTTTTGGGTACAAAGTCTAGAATTCATACCACGAGTATAGATACACACTACCGAACTACAATGTCATGGGTCTGTCATTTGACAATCAAAACTACATGTACATGCTTTCCTCACTTCTTACATAATCATACGATGAAAACTATAAATGTTCGTTTAAAAAATAATTATCAGTTGAAATTAATTTTAAACGTGACAATGACATCATCCAAGAAGGATTATGAGCGACTATAAAGAAACACTTGGTTACCAGCTTTCAGTGTAGTTTGAGCTGGAAACTCCAGTCGGGTTCGCATTCCTAAGCTGTTTGAGCAGTTCATGTAGAACTTGTACTCTGTGTATGGGTAAAGTCCTGATAGTGTCGCTGGTGGATGGGTTGTTATAGCAACGGCTCTGGTGATGCCTTCCTCACTGGTTATGGAGACCGAACATGATTCGAAGAGACCAGTGTTGCCTGGACTTGTGCTCCAAGTGATGTTGAGCTGAGTCGCCATTAAGGACACCACTTCGGGATTAACAAAAACTGGAAATGCGATAGAAACACGAAGAATGCACGTAGGTTCATTAAAAGCAATCTCTAATGCTCATTAAAGAATTTAAAGGACAATCAATAGTTAGCTAGACACGTTCATGCGTACATTACATAATAACTACTGTTAATTTCAAATTTAAGTGACCTACGTAATGAATCACTTAATCATTGTTAGATAAACTCTAGTAGGAAATTTTACATAGTAAGACCTGAGCATCTTTGAGGACCACAAATCTTTGGTTTCCACAGAATACCAGGTTTATTTCTGACAATCCAATGTCCAATGATAACCTTGAAGCTCCCGAAATCTTGAACTGTTTTTTTATTACTGTAAATGATATTATAATTATGTTTATTCCTTTCATCTTTTCTTTGCGGTATAAGCTTTAGTGGTCATTCTCATTCTTACTTGGACAATCGTGTTCTTCTGCAGGCCCTGCTCCACTAGGGTTAAAGCTGCAGGTCAACGGTCTATCACTGGAGACTGCGCTGTACAGGTAAGATTCGCCTAGACCGGTCCCGTAGACAACAGCACGAAACCTGGGATAGAATGCTTGACCCTCTGTGGTGGTCTTCTGTTGACTTCGCAGAAGATATGATCCGCCACTGACCACTGCCCACTGTGAGCACATCCTTGTCCCGTCCAGTATCTCCATAGAGTAGTTTTCATTCCATGTCAACTGTTTGAATATACAAAAGCTCTTACTAGTATGTACATTTTATGGAAAGGTAGGCATCAGTTGTGTGCATTAGGAATGGGAGGGCATTCTTGAGAGTCAGATTTGGGATCGCCTTTGAATTAAAGTGGAATCTTGAAAGATTCTTGAAAGATTACTGTGGTGTGAATTTCACTAAATCTAAAGTGGCTTCAACTTCAAACGAAGTGATCTCTAGTACGACTCGAAAATGTTGATTTCCACTCCTCTGAAAGTATATCCTACCAAATGGTCGAAGTTTGGAAGAAAGAAAAAGGTGTGTTTATTTCTTCCCAACATGACATGAATATTATCTAACTGGCTGAAGCGTCGTTACCCCTAAATATGAATCCCATTGGTTTTTCCTAACTTTAAGAATCTTACGTAGTGTTTTCTTATTTTACTTCCCTATTTGACCACTAAAAGAATCTGGCTTACAGTATTAATATTTTGATAAGTAATTTTTTCATGTAAGGATAATATCTACAAGTTTTATGTAATTAAGAGAAACATTTTTATCTTTTGCTTTAATACAGACACAACTTACCGACAACGATTGGTAGTCTTTGAAGATGGAGATGTTCTTGAGGTGTTTGCATTCTGCCGTGAGTTCAAGATGAATGCTTTCAATATACGTGTACTCTTCACCAAACTCATGAACCGGGAAAGTAGCCTCCTGAACATACTGCTCAATCGGCGAAACCCGAATCATTGATGGGTCACTATTATCAGTTCCGTCACTTCTTCTCCCTTTGGGATACTGCATAACGGTTATTGGTTTGTCAGCAGAGACAAACGTCATGGTCTGAGATGGTACATCTATTGTTCGAAAGTCACCCATGTTCAACCTCAGAACTATGTTGCCATAGAGGACAGTGGTTTGATCGCGACCTGTTACAACTTGGAAAACATAACCCGAACCACGACTGACAAAAGGGCTCAACAGGAACATCTTTCCCCATGACGTGAACGGAGCTAGTTGTTCAGCTATATGGTCACAGTATTGAACACCTTCAGGGACGTTTGCACATTTCGCTCCTGTGCTTACAGCGATTGATGTGTTTGTGATGATTCTTGTTCCAGTGATGCCTGTAAACTGCGGAAGGAGCTGTATTGATTTAAATGGATGAAGAGTATATCGGAACACGTCACCAGCATCAAACGTCTCGTCAACAAACTGCACCGTAGAGGTCATATGAATTTCGACAGAGACACCTTCCCCAAGCGACGATATTGTCACAACACCGCTACCTTCCGTCGGGTTACCTCCCCACGTTATTGTTGCTATGAAATATTCCTGGCCTAAAGACTCTGAGGGCATTACGGTGAACATATCCGAATTCGATGGATCAAGGTTATAGTGAACAACAGTAATGGCTTTGTTGGAGACCACATGAACTGTAGAATCAATGGGCCCTGATGTTGTTTGGTGAATAAGTTCTCTCGGTAGCGGGTACTTACGGGGACCTGAACCCGGTGTTAAAGTGATTCGTTCCTCGAGAGATTTTCCAGGAAGTGATATATGCACGGTGGTTGATTCATTCGTAGTTCCTTGAAGGATCATACCGATAATGGAATGTATTATGTAATTTGGATGATTCGGCATGGGGGCAAAGACGAACTCTGTCCCACTTAGTGCACTAACAGAAGATTGGACAAACGTCGCCGGAGCTGCAAATTATAATTAAACATGATGATAACAGATTCTGTTAACATTGTAATCCGATATGGATAGTACATTGTAATACGACACGGACACAGTGTTTTCACATTGTAATACGATATGAATAGTACAGTGTGCTAACATTGTACTACGATGTGGACACATTGTTTTCACATTGTAATACAATGTGGACACAGTGTGCTATGATATTGTAATAATATATTATATCAAGAGGGAGAGAGGGAGGGCACCAATCTCCCTCGAAAAAATTACATGCTAAGTTACAATGTATATGATTAAGGGATAGATGTGGTATGGGGTCCAATTGTCTTTAATTCCAATCCTTCTCCCATTTCTCTCGGTTTATATATTCATTTTCTGCCTTTTCTTCGCTTACATTCGTCTTTCTACGGGGGCAGGTACTCCCAGTAGCTACGCCACTGTTATTCAACATTATGAGAGTGTTACCAAACGTCTCTGTGGCGCTTCTTGTTAGGGGCTCTGTGTTCTTTCCATAAAAAAGGAGAGAAACATCTGGCACCATGGGGAAGATGTGTCATTTTCACTACTCGTTTCTCGGTTTCGATGCACGCAATGATGATGCATTCCGTACTGACAGCAAAAGCGATGTAAATCGCATGCCTCCATAGGAAGCCAAGATTAATACTTTAATACCTGTAACAGATTGAATAAGATTTTTTTTTCCTTTAGAGAGTTGAAAGGTCAATACCAAACGATTTTTTTTTTACACACACTAGAAAACCTTTCTCTGAAAACCAATCTGATCTCATTTGCTAAATGTGGCAATGGAGGAACATTCATGTAGGTTCCATTTTTCTGAGCCCTGTTACACAAAACTAAGCAGTTGATTGTAGGAATTGATAAATCGATCGTACAATCGATGGATTGTACATCATGGTCCATTGCCAAATAGCTAGCAATCCATTACTTTTTTGTGACGAGCCCAGGATGTGTCTTGGCCTCCGTGACCCAAATTGTATCGTTGCTAGGAAGTGATAAAGTAAAGAGAGAACTACATTCTGATAAAAATGAACAGAAATATGATTACATTGACCTTGTAGAGTGCCGAACACTCCATAATGGCAGGACATTATCCTCTTTTATATTCAAATGAGTAATAAGTTACACTCAAGTCAACGATAGAATATCACTTTTGCATGATTCGAGACGATCATTCCACATTGTGTGGTTTTACCTACATTACTATTGATTCAGAGCCCTAAAAATATGCCAGATGCTCGAGAAGAAAGGCCATCAATTTCTCCATACACTGTCCGTAGATTTTGTTCATGACCTTATTGCGTTTCAGAACGGGAAATAACAAGGGGGAAATAACCTTTAAAATCCTTAAATTGGCAACTAGTTGAGAGAATCAAAATCAATGTTTTTAAATCAAAAGTGAAGATTTTCTTCTCTCAACTTTTCGACGATTAAATTGTTGTCATAGATATTAAATGCTATTAGAACGATGTAGCAATACAAGAAAAATTATCGCCAATTTGAAGATGTATGTTTGATCAATTTAACCATTTAAGAATCCTTTCCTGAAAGGGATTTAATGGAGCAATGCGATGGAAAATGAAATGTCCAAATTAATCTTGTAGCTTCGATGATATTGATTGGGAAGTCATAATTAAATTGCTCTAATTGTATTGTGTTTTTAAAATTAGCATTGGTTATGTATTAACCACTACTAAACAGAAACAGCCAAAGCTGGTATTTAAAAAAAAATGAATTACGAAAAGAAAATATATATTTACCGGACAGGATGAAAAGAAGACACATGAAGCAGACAGGTCTTCTGAACGCCATGTCTAAATACAAAGATATTTGAAGAAGAAATTACTGCAGGAAGAACGCTGCTACGATATGATAAAACTTCCTTAAATTTCGGGAATTTGGCGCGAACTTTCACATGTACGAAAGTCAATGTCAGATCGATGCCTTGAAAGAAGGATCCTTCCGTTTATACATAATCATGTGACTATGAACTGACACTGTTCTCAACCGTCATAAAAGAAAGTAATAATAACATTACCCATCATTATCTCGCAGTCGCTTGGACGAAACTTCCTTTGGCTATACAATGTATGAAATCATTTATAAACGAAAACTTTACTGGAGAAACATGATCCCAGAAACTTAACACCAAAATATTGTTTTAAGAGGAGTTGACGTTCTCAACTATTCAAGAGCATAATGTCAAAATCCTCTTCAATATATGTCAATCTGAAGAGGCTTCGTGTGGTTTGATGATCGTTTGTATTGATTACAGGACCTCGATGGCAAGTCGTTCAGTTCCTTACAAAAGGGCATTATATAATTCCAAGCATGCTCATTTCTACACAAATGCAAATTCGCACAATATCTATTTTTAAATAGTAAAGCCAAAGTATTTTGCCAGACATCTAAAGCGTCAAAATGTAATTCCTAGTTATCGATTGTATTGGTGCACATGTTTTTCAAACGTATATTTTAGAAGAACAACAAAATGTTTTCATACAAAAATAAATAAATAACGCAGCCAACTTACATTTCGCCATCATTTATGATAACAAATTTGGAAATAAGGTCGATGAAGGGATGAAATATGATTCTTAGTAATCCATGACTGGAAAGGAAATAGTTCTATTGTATGCAAAATAGACGGGTCTATATTCCGGAAAGAACTTTCATGAATTTGGAAACGTTGGCACACTCGTCCACTTACACCACTATGTTGTGCATTGTATATGTAGTGGTGACGTATATAGCAACTATTAAAACAAAAATAAAATAAATAAATTCCTTCAAAATAATTTCTTTATAAAAGCAAAGCATTACTGTTTATTGGTTGAATAATCATGCCTGGCGGGAATAAAGTAATGCATGTGCAACGCTGGTGTCCAATTCCTCAGAATTTCCCCCAAAATACACCTGTTTTAATTAAGTTACATTGGTTGCCAATAAGGCATAGATTTGCATTTGCATTTGCAAAGCATTGAACGGTCAAGCCCCAAATTGATTAGTCTGAATTGTTATCTTTTAAATCATATCCACGATGTACACAGAACAATGTGCTTCTAAGCTACCTCACAAAAACAAACAAAAAACTTTTGGAGACTGCTTACAGTTGCGCCCCTCCAAAGCTTTGGAATAACCTACCACTAGCCATAATAAATGCCTCATTTGTTTTGAGGAGCTTTTATTGTGTGTCCGTAAAGTAATCGGCCCATAGTACTGTTAAGAGTTCTATTTTCATCATAGCGGAGTAGAGTATATTCATATAGCAGCTGCGCTTCAAAAATTGAATTTGTTTTGGGGTATTGTTATAATTAAAGTTGTTTTAATTGTTTAAAGGGTATTAAATTTAATCTATATACATTCATTTCCAAATTAACACTTGAAGTTTATTGTAATAATGGGGAGAATGCTTAGAATAAACATATGTGTGATAAAAGTAATTCAGATATAAGTTGTAGTTACTAATTCGTCGCTGTTTTCACGAAGTGACGGTAGTGAGAAAAAAATTGCATTCACTTTGCGTTACGATTTTCCTCACTACCGTCACTTCGTGAAAACAAGGACGAATTGTAGTATTCTAAAAAACGAGTCGAAGTTAAAAAAAAGCATATGGCACAATAATCTATTTCACAATTATGTAGCGCTATCGAAGTTCAATGCAACTACATATTTGATGAATAGATAATTTAACATACCTGAAGCTTTTCGGCCAATATGAAGACAGTCGAAAAGTAATTGATCTCAGTAGCCAGGGCAAAGTACCAACGAGAAGAGACAATAAACGGCTTCGATTGATGGGAAAATGTTTGCTGCCTCCCAAATCCCAAAAGTAGACTTTTGAACCAAACGTTTGTCCAAATTTGGAAAACTTAGAGCATCTGGGAGACGACGGAAAAAGCAGGTCAATACAGAATGGGCATCAAACCCCTTTACACGTCGTAGGTACCTCCCACAAGAAAATAGCACATCGAAAGGACTAGTAGAGCCAATTATAATCCATAACCCTGTCTATGTTGGCAAAGCCATCACTATACTGTCGCGTTTCGGGATAGTTGTGAATTTGAAGATCCCTATTTTTCCTTGCCGATCCTCTTTCGATTTTCGAAAGCACTGTCGTTTGCTTAATAGATCTAACCGCCTCCTTTCACACTTATATATATATATATATATATATATATACATATACATACATACATATATATATATATATATATATATATATATACATGTATGAAGCATCAAAGAACTTTCCCCTTTCTTTCTTGATGAGAAATTAGCAGAAATCTTAAAGATAAAATTGGCCCCTTAACCCCCTCCCCCGCCCCCCCCCCCCCCCCCATCATTGAAAATGTTCCAAAGATACACCTGACGGAAGCAGGTATGATGGTTTTGTGAAACATCCAATGTTGCAGTCTCGCATACACTTCCTCTTATTACTCTTGGGCTTCATGACCTTATCATGCATATCCGTACAAAAACATAGCCTAACTATATGACCTTAACCAATTGAAAACATGAATTATTTCAAAGGCATAAGTTGATTTTTTTTTTAATTTGTTATATTGCCATTTTTTGCCACTTTTTCTTATTTAATGGAATAATATATGGACAGAAACTTTAAAGAAGTTGATATAACTTAATTCATAAATATATGAACGGTTATATTGAACTTCCCAAAAATTTATATCAATAATTAAACAGATTATTGCTTAAAGTTTCTTTTATAATGATCCTGTCAAACACCAATATACTCAGTAATATTGGGGAGAATAGACCACTCGGAGCTGCCGAGGCACAGGTGGCGCCAAATACATAATGATTCTGATAATAAAGAAAAGAATACAGTTTGTGTGTTATTTTCCTTGGTATCTGGATCCAAATTTCTCGAGCAAAACTACAAAATATGGAAAATCGTATTTCCTATTTCCCTTCGTGTTGTACATTGTTATCGTATATGAACCCTGTCATTGTATGTGTTTCTCTTGTACGAACACAAAACTTCTAAAATTTACAAGGAAATTATCATTTAGGATAATTTGACTGAAAATTATAGGCCTAAACGTCCGAAATGAAAGTGCAGACTACAACATCCTTCTTTCGCAAAGAATCCCCTTTTCGTCATGACGAGTATTTAGAGAGGAAAGAAAGGAAGTGATAAAAATGGCAGATATTAGGTATGTATGACGGGCGGGGGGAGAAATAAATTGGGCATCTGTTACGATCAAGCTCAGCTCACCGCAAACTATTCAATTCACCTGCGATCCGATTGACAAGAAAAAATGGAAATTATATTAGATATGAAAATCTGAGCAAACATCATCTTCCTCATTTAGGTTCACGAACATTCGAAATCTTAGGTTTATTCAAATCCAGAACAACGTTATCAAATCGTAGACAATCGCACGTCTACCGGTCTGACATCACTACGGTTCGAGTCGATTTAGCTTTTCCTTCTCCAAGGAAACGTGAAATCTCTTGAAATTTAGATTTTATTAATCATATATGTCCACTGAGATCTCAGTTCATTAAGAGCTTACATGTTAGAATTTTTAAAACAAATGCTATTGCAATTGCTTACAAAATCAAATCGTAATTGTATCGTATAAGCGTACGCCGGGCGTTACTTACAGAGGGCGATGTTTTACCAATGGAAGTAAGTGATTATAGGACACAGAATGATGATTTAGAATCGTCCTCGATATGACGATCATAACATTCATTCTGTTATTGCACTGATAAAGTATAAACATATGGAACAAACAACGAATCGAGTTTCCTTGTTTAGGGGGTTTGAATTATATCATTTTAACATTGATACATCTTAATTTCTTACGTCAAGTGTCAGAGATTACTTTCATGAGATTCAATTTTCGTTACCTTGGTTACCTTCAATTGCGAAACCTTAACAATGCACGTTTCTAAGATAAAAGATGTAACCTAAACGCTTTCTGTTTCACTTCAACGAAGGAATTAATCTAATTTGACCACTTCATATGTCACACAACCCTCCTATTAGCAATCCACTTGCTATCAACTTAATATGCAGTACGTGGTAAGGACACCCTGGATTTTATTTTTCTTTAAAAAAATGATACTTGACCCTGATATTAGAGACACCTTTTCCGATGTTTTGGAGCTGAAGAGTAAACAGACTTTCTGCGGTTAACTTATCCTGTTTAACCGCCCCCACCCCCCCCCCCCCCGACAAACAAAAACACAAAACAAAAATCCCAAAAGAAAACATAACATGGTCAGGAAAATGACGATGTACTAGTTCAGAGTACAATGTACAGGACGTAGAGGGGGTAGTGAGTTTACCCCATATAGATCTCTATGGTTTACCCCCAAGGGCCCGAATTCACAAAGCAAGGTTTGAGCTCAGACCAAGGTTTGAGCTCAAACCTCCTTTTGTTTCGTCAAACCTCCTTTTGTTCTTTACAAACCAGGTTTGTAAAAAAACGCGTAAAACGCGTCATATGACGTACGAAAACTAAGGTTTAAGCTCAAACCTCCTTTGTGAATTCGGGCCATAGAGTGTCCTTTTATAGAAAGGGACACTAATCCCATACAGAGCCATCTATACACAGAGTTTGGCTAACTTGATTTCACTGTGGTGTATATTCTTTTGTTGTGTGCTCGCCCAACAAAGCAGTAGTCGCCATATTGTGTCCAACTCGAACCGGGTCCAACTCTGTGTATAGATGTCTCTGACCCCATAGAGATATATTTAAATTATGTAGATCTCTATGGCTTACTCTCATCAGAACCATCTACACTGTACACAGAGTTTGGCCGACTCGGTTTCAGTTGGTCACAACATGGCGTATTTCTTTTCTTATGTGCTTGCCCAACACAGCAGTATACACCTTCGTGTTCCCAACTCGAACCGGGTTGGTCAAACTCTCCCAACCAATGGTACTTACTGACCCTCATGTTGTATGCTCGATGGCTAAAATCGCCAACCTATTTCACCCATAAGATTCGACCCCTCGAGATCATTCTAGTCATTGCCAAGACTTTTTTAGTTTATCCTCCAGAGCCCCCAAAGTTATGGTAAAAATGATATTTCGTCATTAAAAATACACCAGAAAAGGTGAATACAAGCACCTAGCCGCATACTCGGTTATGGCGTTATTCTGGCAGCTTGCTGCCTGGACATGAGGTGACGGTTGCCAAAATATCGATGCGTTCAAAATAATGAAGGTAGCTAGACCCCCATTTGTCTTATCCGCATTAAGAACTAGACAGTTGTGGTGTTACCCATGAAAATATATTTCCATACCTTTGGTTAGCTTTTGTTCTACTTCTGTAATATTACTCCCGCTGACTGTTAGAGTCGTGACGTCATCATTAATATCAACAATGCCATCATAAATACATTTGGGTAAACTATTTATGTATATAGATTGAAAAAAGGAGTGGCCCTAGAATCGAACCTTTTGGGACTCCTATCATAACTTTGGAGGACCTCGAAGTAGCCCCTTTAAAACAAACCATCTGTTCTCGGTTGGACAGATATGATACGAACCACTGAATACTAGTACCAGAACATCCAATGGCTGTCAATGTCTGTTACAGAATATCGTGATCGACAGTGTCAAATGCTTACCTCGAATCTATGAAAGCTACACCTGTTAAAGTATTGTTATCTAAATTCAGATTCTCTTAAAAAGTAATTTCCAAACGTGTTCAACACTAGTTATACATGTCCGTCATTTTTTTCCAGCAGCATAATTTCAAGCTAGTCCACCTAAAAATTGTGCATGAAGATTCCCTGAACACGTTCATACCGAACAATCTTTTCTTTTTGGGAGGACTGGGTGGAATATACAGATCATTATAAGGCTTGTGACTGTTTTTGCTATATCCGGCATAATTCTATTTCCACATTGATCTCTCTCTCTCTCTCCCTCGTTATACTTTATGAAAATTAAAACACAACTCAGCTTTACCCAACAGTCAATGTATAATTTTGGCCATTTTCCTGTCGAAATTTAAAAAAAAAAATCTCGTATGCTAATCCCTGGCCTTTTCCTCTTAACACCTGACCCTATTTTCGTACAGCTATTCTGGTACAAACTGCCAATAATTACAATTTCGCAGTATTTTTTTCTTCTTGTTAACTCTTTCAGGGAACTTTATTTCACATATCTACAACGTTTACAATTAACATAATTATACACATACAAAATTAAAACATCATCTTAAGCGCATTGGGAGGTCCTGCGGTCCTGAAATGCGCCGTATAAGGACGAACTATTATTATTATTATTAACATTTCAGTCAAAACTTTTACCTGTTTTTCATTAACCTTTGCTTTTGTTTTAGAATTTAAATGTGACATCAATTCATACTTCAAATCAGTTAAAAGAGTTTTACCATTCATTTTGCTTTTTGCTTTTGAATGTCTAACGTAGTTCTTATAAATAAATTAATCAACATTTTTACCAAGTAGTTATCTAACTTGCCTATATCATCTCCAATTACTAAAGTCTTCATTCAGACCATTATTATTGATTTAAACTGGGAAAAATTTATCCGATCGATTCCTTAAAATTCTCCAAACTATATTATTACAATTTAATTATATTTTAGGTGAATTTAAATCGTCACAAAGCAATGAATTGGCTTAATATAATATTCCAGACATTTAAGTGTTAAAAGATTTTTAAAAGCGTGTCTTATGTCTTATTTTCAAGGAAAAACCGGTTGGGAAAATTTTCCTCAGGATTTTATGCCTGTTAGAGGGTAAGTACAGTAGAAGGAATATAATAAGTAATATTTCATTAAAAAATTACACACTTATTTACATCAACCTTAAACAATGTTATCAGTTGTATTCAATTTTCAAAAATGAGGTTTCCTAGACATTCCACATAGTTTCTCGATGTCTCAGATATTACAATTACTAACTGAAACACCAATATAATTCCACCTACCCTATTTAACCAACAGGAAATATAATTTTCCATGTAGCTTTCTCATCGTCAAAAAAATCTCCTTATCAAAGAAAGTTGCAGAGACCCGACTTTTGCCTGCTAACCGACCATATCTAAATCCCCTTCAGTAATTATATTCAAACATACATTTCTTTTTTTTCTTCTCTTTCTTTATAGACCCCCATAAAAATGAAAACATCATCTTATTAATTTAGGTATTAATAGAATGTGGTATTGAAATAACATTTGCCACATAATAAATTTGCGACACAACTAAAACCTTTAATATCACAATTTTGCAATAATATTTTAAATAACGCATTCCTCACATATCTGAGATAACTTGAATTTTTTAATCTTCCTATCCCAATTTAAAACCAAAACTTTTTCTTTATTTTTATCTTCATAGTATCCCCAGACATTTCACTGGCTCAGCCGAAAAATGGATCCCATTCCATTCCATTCTTGTTAAATCCTGCACTTAATTATATCAATTCCGATTTTACACAGTTAATATAAATACCAGAAAATGACTAAAACAAGTAATTTACCGCAAAACAATATCTGCTGACCGTAAGAAATCAACGAATAGTACAGTATCATCCGCATACTAATTTTAATTTCTATTTTACCGTCCACGATCCCTTGACTTGGAAATCTGTATACAACATATATTTTCGTTTTGTTTTATCCTTGCAGTAAATACTTCTACCGTTATTATAAATACCAAAGCAGAGAGAGGACACCCTTGCCTCGCCCCTTCTGTATAGAAAATGATTTGGAAATCCAACGATAATGAACAACTTGTCCACTCGCATTTGTTATAAATTGTGCGAATCCATGAAATAAAAGTATTTTTAAATCCAAATTTGTCTAGTGTTTTAAACAAATAAGCATAATTCACGTTATTAAATGCTTGCTTAAAATCAACGAACGTAGGAAAACCTGGTAGACGCTCGAACCTACAAAAGTCAATAATATCTTTGACAAATCGTACATTTTGTGTTGCTATTTACCATTCATAAATCCAGATTGATAAAACGAAACAATAACATAAATTACTACTTTTAATCGTTTGGATAAAGCACGAAGAAATGCACCTTTACATTTATTTCTGTATCATTTATCAATTTCATTTAGTAATTTCATTTTCTGATCAACACTTTCTGAATATTCATTGTATTCGTCATCTTGACATATTTCTATATATTTTTTCCCCAGATATTCTAGATACCATTTCTTTTTTTATGTTACAATCAAAAGCATATTTTACACTATATTCTCATATTTTTATTTTATACAATTCCCACTGTATTTTCAAATCTAGACCACAATATTCCATCTTTTCTTTTTGGGATAACATCTACAATTTTGCAGTATAGTTTGATGGCAAATTGAAGCAAACTATTTCCTAAATTTGCAACAATTACACTCTCTATTCAATTATTCTAAATAACCCCAGTGTCACTTCTGTATATCACTAATTCATATTCCTCTTCGACAAGGTCTTTATTCAAATTCTGATAAATAGGATTTGACTTCTCATCTACCGGTTGACATTCATGGTATACGTGTTGGTTTTCCGTGCTTGTTTGTGTATTTGTGGGTAAGATGTCTTTGCACTTGCGGTGAGTCGTGGTGAAGCTTGCCGGAGCAATGGGAGAACTTCTGTTCCTTTGCTGTCGAGATCTATGGAAAAAAACAGAAGAGATTACCAAGGATAGATAATTAATTATACTTAGAGAGGGAATGATGGTAAACCTCTCACCTGTGATTTATTTAGGGATTAGAGAATTATAACCTGTTTGTTGTGGCCGTCATTCACTTGGATTATAATATCGTATCAATGGAATCTATTATTTTCTTCTATAAAGATCCATATGTTTATTTACCAAAATATTTTACACTCATTCTCTATTCTTCTCTTTCTTTCTCGCCTTCCCTCTTTTGCCCCCATCGCCCCCTTGATTTAATTTGACAGCACGGCTGATCTACCGAGTGGTCCTAATATATAAAAAGGGTAATAATAAGGGGTCCACTTGGGCATTATTTCCCCCCTCTTCCCCCTCTGTATTTCCTTTCCCTTTCCCCCCGTAATATTTGCATTGATACTCTTTACTTGATTAAAACGAAATGAGTAATTACCTGTTTCGTTTACGAAGATAAATGAATATCACGATGACTCCGATGACGACAAGAGTCACAGCTATACAACCTATTATCAAAGTCACATGAGTGCCACTACCAGGAACTTGAACTTCAAAATGTAAAGATAAAAGATTTATTAACCAGATCGCAAAAACTACCGATATATCAATTCAAGAGCGATTTCCATACCATATCGGAGATCCTATATAAATCATGTTAGGATTACATAAAACGTCATCATATTATATGCACATTTATTTCAATCAGTGACGGAAAAGGCTATTGAAATTTCCTTTGGTTGATTTTTTCCGAAAGTCTCTGCGATCGTTTTAATCGACCACATTTTCACATTAAAGTTAAACTACATGATGTATCTTAAATTGTTGGGAAATATAAAACAAAGTATTACATGGAATAAAAGGGTATTGTACGTAATTGAGATTTTTCCGATAAATACGATTTTTTAGTGAAATAATGAGTTTATGAATTTATATCATAAAGAAACAAAAATATTACAAAAAGGAGAGTTATATTGTTGTAAATATTTTCAAGCCAATTCTATGATTTAAATTATAAAATATATTAAAATAGAGTTTAAGACAGTACGCATCAACAATTTGGCAGGCCTATGTTACTTATTTTTCTTTTAACTGAAATTATTTATTAATTTACGTATTAAATCAGGCATTTTAACGGAACCATGAAGCCGGAGTATTGAACCTCATTACTGCTTATGATGCTTTTATGGAATGAACATATATACTTGTATGTTTAAAACATTTATTAAAAAGACGGAAACATAACCCGTCACTACCTTAACTTGTTTAAAGGTTATGTGAATAAAGTTTGTTAGAAAAGGTAATACTTATATAGGGGAGAATTAACGAAGAGGAAATTTGATATGCAGAAAAGATAAAGACTTATTTCACGTCAGGATATCAAAGTAAATTTCTGGGAAATGGGAAGACAAAAATTGATAAATATAAACAATTACCTTTGAGTCGAATTGGTTCTATGAATGGTCCATTCACAAAATAAACATCCTTAAAGAGTGAGAAACAAGTAAACCGCAACAAAGAAGCATTAAACCATTTTGTATTGAGTTTTGTTTCAAGAAATTTAAATTCATTCGGGGGGGAGAGGAGCAAGTTTAGAAAGTCATTACAAGTTGTCAATTCATCGTTGTGTAATCGGCTCTTAATGATTGCTAAGCTTTGTTCCTCCTCCATCATTAAAAATAGATAATAAAGAATTCATGTGAAACATTAAAAACATAATTACCATTTTCTTCAAAACATAAGTCACCCATATTTTCGCTAAAAGCAAAATTCAGATGCGAAAATAATTTTCAAATTTTCAAATTTTCATCAAAATTTCTAATGATGGGTACCCTTTTCTGCCAAAATGATGCTTAGAACTGGGCATACATTTGGATGACTAAGCTGCACACCCCCGTTCAAATAAAAAAATCAATACCCCTCACCCAACCCCACCATAGGTAAGCGAAGGTTATTTTTTACCCCGTCATGATGAGAAGGTGAGTACACTCTGATAAAGCAGGAATAAAAGCTGTCCGGATTCAAAGGACCGCTGGTGGCATGCAGGGTCGTTGCTCTCATGGTAGCTCGTCTTCTGCGATGATTTTCATTTACTTCGCCCCAAGTGTTGCATTCAGACTGAACTTCAAATCGAGAGCCCACTGTGATCACATTGCCAGCAGGAATGCTAAGGTTTCCGTTATGATATAAGAGAGAAGTTTGTTTTCATCGTACGTGTATCTTTAATCAATAGCGAACTAACACACTGAACAATTTGATCGAGATAATAGACATTTTAGACACACATATAACTGCATCGTGGTTGTTCAGGATGCGAGCGACTTGAAACTTAAAAACTAATACCCACTTTACACTATCTAGCGATTTGCCTCATAAGCCTACACCATTCATGCCAATTCCACGATCAGGTTTACGAACAATGACATGTTGTTTATAAATGTCATCATTTATATTTAGATTCTCGTAATGAATTTCTGAAGAGAGGGCATATGTTCCAAATATAACATGAAACTAGAAGGGAATGTCAGTTACATTGCTATATTGCTTAAATAAATAAATGATCTCATATTATTTACACATAATTATAAGTTTTTATCGAAATTGATTTTCGGTAGATAAAGGCTGATTACTTCCACAAAAAAGAACCCACACTTACGCCGAAAAAACCATGGCACTGAACGGGGTTCCTATTAGGGTTCTTGCGATGCTGTAGTCCCTCGTATTGTTATTGCTGTAAGCATTGTCGTTTGAATCAATACTAGTTGTTTCACCATAAAGCTGAACAACGATGACTTCAAAGCAACTATAAGTTAAAGTTTGAAAGAAGCAATTCATTACTTTAATGACAAGAGCATGATGAATATAATACCACTTTCTACTTTCTACCTTTGGTGCTCACAACCATAAGAGGTTAAAGTACTTCAACAGGCCATTACCATGACCATGGTCGATGTGATGTACTTTAATTTAATCAACTGCTCTTTGAGGTGAACACAAATCCAAATATGTCATACTTATACCATCGCAATAATGGGCATGTCAATAAACAAAAAGTGGTAAGATGTAGGGGCTTATTGCACAAATGGGAAGCCATACACAAGTTAGTGAAAGGCCATGCTTTTTTTTCCAACCAGAAAAATTATTTAGTGAGTTTTCGATAACACTTATCGATGTACAAATATTGTCCTACCTAGGTGCAAATTATTTAATTTCTCTCCTTGGTTTACAATCTGTGAAGATAGGTAAATGCCACCCTGTCCCTCTTTAAGATTTGCCAGTGCCTTAGTACAAGTGATGAAAAATAAAAATACCTGATAGGTCCATTTGGATTGTGATAAGCCGGTATGTTGATGTCAAAACTGTAATCTCTGATGCCACCAGATACGATGGTTGGTGTAGCTGGTTTTACAGGAACTAAAACATTGAAATTAACAATAAAAATCATAGGCGAAAATGTATTTGTACTTAAATCTAGAGTGAAATTTAATACCAATAGATTGAAGGCGGAGGAACATCAAACTTGTTTTTAAACGCAGAATGCACAATTAAAACGATGCATGATGGCCGTATTCATTTACTGCTACAATAAACTCAATCGCATTCTGAGATCATTTCAATAAACCTGTGTACCAGGCATTAAAACGTGCTAACCCGAAAATGTTATTTCTTAGTCCGAACATGATAAATTTCCTTAATATTTATAGCTTATACATCAATTCGTAATTTAATTCAGATAATAATATTTGTTAAATGTGAAGATATGTGTTCCTTAGCAATGTGACCAATACCTGTCGGAATGTATCTGATTTTAAGTAAGTAGGGTATGACAATTCATTACATTTTAATGGTAATTTTTTTTCGAAAAAACATTTTTCAGTGATTAAACGTATTCATCCTTTAGCCTATAGTTCCTTGAGTGAATTTCCCTAAACATAATGATTGCACAAAGATGAAACGAAGGAAATGATGGAATTGTGTAGAACTTTACATGCATGTCCTGAAAGATAATATATTACCTGTTTGCAATGATGTAAATGTCTCACTGTATGCCAAGGAACTATTCAGCTTCATACGAGCAGATATCCGTGGCTCTAATGCAAACGCTTCCACAACAGCTCTGTACGAAAGGTAAGGCCGAAGGACCAAAGTATGCTCCAAAATATGGGCAGTCACATCTGTATCAAAACAACAACATCACAAAAAATCAACCTGTAAAGTTACTTTGAAATTTGAATATGGTGACCGTGACTGTATAGATTTAGGTCGCATTGACATCAAACAATGCAACCCTTTGCAGGAAAAAAGATTACTGTCAAATAACTCCTTTATCATAATGGCTAATGTGTGTTAGGATTTCATTAATATTGATACTTCACTTTCATTACATTTTTTAGAATGAACATGTGCAAAGACTATTTATATTCTGTTTTCCATGGCATTTCTTTTTCTGAGCAGCCGAAATAGATATTAAAGGGGGAAAAAGGATATAAAGAACAACCAAATTGACATAGACCTTCATCTGCACATGAAGTTCGTAAGTGATCGAATCCGATCCATCATGTTCACTTCTCGGCCCTTTCATATAGTGATTTAACATTTTAGTTTTTAGAATTTGTTTATAATGATGTGCGTATTGCTATGAAGATACATTTACCAAAGTAATATGAACACTGTTTTTTTGAAAAAGTATCCCAAGATGTAAATTAATATTCCAACCCTATAACCTCTACAAACCGGAGGGGGGAGGACTGGCCACAGAGGGCTTAGAGAGTCTTAATTTCTTGCTCGAAATTTAGCTTAAAGATAAAGTTGGGTTCTAGTCATGCGATTGCATCGTGAAAAAATGGTGTGGAATCGATCAGAAAAGGTTGACCATCTAGCATATAAGTATTGGTGTGTACTGCAAGGTTCTGAAATTTGGAAAGTAATTTGGCCCAGTTTTTGGTAAAATTACAAGCACTGTACACAGAAAGATGTATATGGGACTACACAAACATCTGGCAGGTCCAGGTTTTTATGATGTTACATGCCATATTTAGAATAATAAGGCATTTAAAGAGCAATGCTTTTCAGGGAACATTTTTTATCTGGTGTTCTTCCACACTAGCTTGCATAATAGACAATGATAACGCTCACGAATTATTGTTCACCTCTTTCCAGAACTCAACCTTCTTTTCGATTTGTATGGCCAGGTCTTTTTTTTATCGAATTTACCCCCAACCGAATTTCAGTTCCAGTCCGCCCCATAAGCCTTTACGCAGCTCTTTCCTTACCTGTACTATCCGTTGTACATGAGATTGAAGAACAGCTTTCAAGGACAGCATACACGGTGTAGCCTTCCACCGGTCCACGGTTGAACAGTGGTTGTGTCCAGGAGACGATGGCTGAAGAGTCTGTCACTTCCTTGACCGTTACGTTGTTAGGAGGACCCGGTTCTACAAAAGAATTTTAAATTAAAGAATGATTTACCATGCTAATGCGAGGAGGGGGCGCTAGAAAGGGGAATAACAACGTCCCTAGAAATATACATGTTATGTGTAAACGGACCAAGATCATGTGTAAACAGTGGTCGGGTCCAGGAGACTACCGCTGAAGACTCGGTCATATCCTTGACCGTTACGTTTAGTAGGAGGGCAGGTTCCGTGTAAGAATTTCCAATTGTAAAATGATTTGCCTTGAATAGGGAATGTATGGTCCCTCAGATTATCCGTTGGCAAATGTTTAAATTGATTGAAATCGTTATAGCTCCTCTGAATATAACGTTGAGGTTAGAAGTTTTTTTCTTTTTTACGAGTTGGCAGGTTGTCAATTATATGGAAATATGTTGTTGACAATCTAAAAACCTTTCTTTTGTTGGAACATTTTCCTTGATAGCATTTTTTGATAACTTCTGGCAGCACAAGAATCTACTCCTTCACAGGTATTTCTTTATACATGTATAGTAAAACTATCTAATTGAGAAAATTAGAAAGTTCTCAGAAAATATGCATATACGTGTATCTCTCTTGTGACAATGGTAATTCATATTAAATCTATTAGCATTAGAATAGGTTATTTAAAACATCGAAATAAAATTTGGATCAAAATTGGGGCTCTATATTTGATTGTTCCATTTTGTTAAAGGATTTAGAAATTTAGAAATGAATGCTATATCTTTCTTTCAAGAAACTTCGTTACACTATTCTCTTACCGGCTTTCAGTGTTGTGAACTCCTCGCTTGTCACCTGTGAACTGCTCAGTATATCCCCGGGACTAGGTATTCTCGAGTCAATGTTGTATGCTATGACAATTACCCTGTATGTTGCAAACGGATCCAGATGTAGATTTTGGCTCGTCGCTTCTGTCTTAAAAGCTGGAATAAAAACAAAGAAATGAGATCGGATATATGTGATACGATAAAGAGATAAAAGAACACTTTATCTTATTATTCATTCCTACAACCAATACATTTGACAATACATGATTTGACTTTAGGATGAGTAGATAAAATATCACAATGAATTTCTATTTAAATAAAGGGTAATTTATAATAACCTGATAACCTACCCCCAAAACTGGAGGGACAATCGTGGGGAGGTGGGAGCAGCCTATTTCAGGCAAACTTTATCTACCTTAACATTTATCTCATATAAATGATTGCAGTTACAGTAACAATGAATAAACCATTAATTCACAACATAACCATCGTAATCTAAGCAGTAATATTGGTCTAGGATGTTGAAGTTCCTTGAAAGTATGTTTATCTCCATTTCTTATCAACTACAGGTTGAGTTCTTACATTTATCTTTACAAATCGGAGGCCCACATTCCCCAAAGAGGTTTATCTTGAGCCATGGTATAAATCTAAAGAAGTATAGTATACTCTCGTGTCATCATACCCTGTGTGCCACCAATAACACACGATAGAGGTTTAAACTTTTGTGTGGGTAATCAGGGGTTTCAGGGTTAAATCTAGGGTTTAATAGGCCATTTTCGTAGTGTAATCAAATTAATGCACAGATCTTTGTTGAGTGCCTGGTTAAACTTATGTCATTCACCTGTTACGAATAATTGTATTTCAATAGTCAGAATCTGAAATGCATATATCGTGATGTTAAGCAGGAAACGCCATAATGTTTGTCCTAACAATCAATAATTAATTTTTGTACATATTGATTACACTACGAAAATGGTCTTTAAGCCCCCTCTGAAAAAATCGGGCTAAAATATGCATGATTATCTTGCTTGTCAACACCGTAGAGCATGAGCTAGACAAACAGTTCTGAAGCTCTGCGAAGACCACGTATCCGTCGACTGTTCCATTCCCACTGGTTACGCGAGGTGGTTCCCATGATGCAACAGCTGATGTTTGCGTCACTTCCGTTACCGTTACGTCGGTGGGAGGATGAGGCTCTTGCAAATGAAATTGATAGTGAATTAAGTAGGATCAGATAAGATTTATTATTGATGTTTACGCCCGAGCACCGATCATGTATAAGAGAGGTGTCCGCAATATACATGTTATGTGAAAACAGACCTAGATCATTTGTGAACAGCGGTCAGGTCCAGGAGACTACCGCTGAAGACTCGGTCATATCCTTGACCGTTACGTTTAGTAGAAGGGCAGGTTTCATGTAACAATTTTCAATTGTTAAATGATATGCCTTGAATTGGGATTGCACGGTCCTAAAATTATCCATTGGCACACGTTTAAATGGGTTGGAATATATGTAGCTTATCTTAATATAACATTTAGTTTAAAAGTTGTTTCATTTTAACGAGTTGGCAGGTTGTCAATTCTATGGCTTTTGTTGACAATCTAAAACCTCAGGATCATTTCGTTCGTTAGCAAATTATCCTTAAAAGAATTTATTGATAATTTCTGGCGGCACATGAATTTACTGCTTCACAAGTATTTGTTTATACATGCATATAGTAAAGCTATCTAGTTTTTAAAAAAATAGAAAGTTCTTAAGAAATATGCATAAGCCTGTATATCTATTGTGCGATGGTAATTTCATGAATCAGTTAAATCTATTAGCATTAGAATAGTTTTATAAACATCGAAATATAATTATGATCAAAATTGGGGCTCTGTATTTGATGTTACTACAGTTCGAGTCAAAAAAAGGTTTACACCAAGAAAATTGCTAATTATTTTAAAAAATCATTTATGAACAGTAAATGATTATACATGTTCATCTTATGAAAGAGTGTGGTATGTGGTCACGCTTTGATGAACAGGAGGCATTGTTTGCGAGAGTGCAAAAATCGATTTGCGCCCAAGTTGCTTGTGTGATGTTTGAATAAAACAATTGAGATTCGGGTACTAATTCGGTCTTTGCAGATCCAAATCACATCCCTAACAAAATTAATCACGTCACACATATCAAATATCAAATATCAACGAACATTTGTGCTCGTGTGTGGGTGTGTATGTGACTTTGCTTTTGCAAAAAGCATATGCAATGCACTTCATTTGATACATTCAATTCATTCTCTCATCACTCCGCATATCCCAACATAATACACGCTGTAGGCATCACTTTGGTCCAAGTCGATTTGTGCACTCTCGCAAACAATGCCACCTGTTCATCCACGCGTGAACACACTCCACACAAAAATGATACCAAATGACTTGGGATGTAACTCTCTTTCATAAGATGTATAATAATTTACTATTCATTGATGATTTTAAAAATAATTAGCAATTTTCTAGGTGTAAACTTTTGTTTTGACTCACACAGTATACGATTTAATTGTTCCATCATTTCAAGGATTTATAAATGAGACTAATGAATGCTATATCTTTCTTTCAAGAAACTTCGTTACACTATTCTCTTACCGGCTTTTAGTGTTGTAAATTCTTCGCTTTTCGCCTGTGAACTGTTCAGTATGTAAACGGGACTAGGTATTCTCGCGTCAATGGTATATGCTATGACAATTACCCTGTATGTTGCAAACGGATCCAGATGTAGATTTTGGCTCGTCGCTTCTGTCTTAAAAGCTGGAATAACAACAAAGAAATGAGATCGGATATATGTGATACGATAAAGAGATAAAAGAACACTTTATCTTATTATTCATTCCTACAACCAATACATTTGACAATACTTGATTTGACTGTAAGATGAGTAGATAAAATATCACAATGAATTTCTATTTAAATAAAGGGCAATTTATAATAACTTGATAACCTACCCCCGAAACTAGAGGCACAATCGTGGGGAGGTGGGAGCAGCCTGTTTCAGGCAAACTTTATCTACCTTAACATTTATCTTATATAAATGATTGCAGTTACAGTAACAATGAATAAACCATTAATTCACAACATAACCATCGTAATCTAAGCAGTAATATTGGTCTAGGAAGTTGAAGTTCCTTGAAAGTATGTTTATCTCCATTTCTTGCCAACTACAGGTTGAGTTCTTACATTTATCTTTACAAATCGAAGGCCCACATTCCCCAAAGAGGTTTATCTTGAGCCATGGTATAAATCTAAAGAAGCGTATAGTATACGCTCGTACGCTCAATTAATCCTCATTACTGTCATTTATGACTTAAGAGCATAGGTCCCCTTGTTGATAAGCATAGTAGCATACACATGCATTAGCAGTCACGCATAACACACATTGTCAAATTATTATTCAACAATATCTGAGAATGTATACTATTATCTAGATCTATTATTTTTTAAATATTTTTAAAATAATTCCATAAATTGGGATAAAACAAAAATATTCCAACTTTATGAGCGACAGTGTATCTTTGTTGAGTGCCTGGTTAAACTTATATCATTCACCTGTTACGAATAATTGTATTTCAATAGTCAGAATCTGAAAAGCATATATAGTGTTGTTAGGCAGGAAACGCCATAATGTTTGTCCTAACTATCAGCAATTAATATTTGTACATATCGATTACACTACAAAAATGGTCTTTAAGCCTCCTCTGAAAATGTCAGGCTAAAATATGCATGATTATCTTGCTTGTCAACACCGTAGAGCATGAGCTAGACAAACAGTTCTGAAGCTCTGCGAAGACCACGTATCCGTCGACTATTCCATTCCCACTGGTTACGCGAGGTGGTTCCCATGATGCAACAGCTGATGTTTGCGTCACTTCCGTTACCGTTACGTCGGTGGGAGGATGAGGCTCTTGCAAATGAAATTGATAGTGGATTAAGTAGGATCAGATAAGATTTATATAAGTTTACGCCCGAACACCGATTATTCATAAGAGGGGTGTTGTGGTAGGAATAAGATCTACGAATAATTCTAGTACGGAAAGTACATTGATGTCATTCGCTAATTAATCATGATGAACCTGACTATTTCAATTCTTAGAAATTAATAACCCATTTGTTTAGTAGCATTGTTTAATAAGTCGCTTATTATGTCTATCAGTATGCTTAAGAGACTGTTACGAACATCGTCACGTAGAAAGAACTTCGATCCTTTTTTGTACTCTTTTGCAGTGATCCTGATCAATTTCAATGTTCAAAAGCTCAAATTTCATACCACGAGTATAGACACTTATAACACAACTACATGTTTGTGTCCTTTCGCGGGTTTCATCATCATATAAGCCATGAACAATCAAATCTATCCTACATGTTTTTCCACACCGCTTTTATTATTATACAATAACCAAAAGTAATTATTTATTTTAAAAGAATTATCAGTTGAAAATAATTATAAATGTGACAATATATTACAACATCAAAGGACGATTAGGTGTGGCTTAAAAGAAACCACTAGTTACCAGCTTTCAGTGTAGTTTGAGCCGGAAACTCCAGTCGGGTTCGCATTCCTAAGCTGTTTGAGCAGTTCATGTAGAACGTGTACTCTGTGTATGGGTGAAGTCCTGACAGTGTCGCTGGCGGATGGGTCGTTATAGCAACGACTCTGTTGATGACTTCCCCACTAGTTATGGAGACCGAACATGTTTCGAAGAGACCAGTATTGCCTGGACTTGTGCTCCAAGTGATGTTGAGCCGGGTCGCCATTAGGGACACCACTTCAGGATTAACCAAAACTGGAAATGCAATACAAAAACGAAGAATAAAAGAAGGTTCATTAAAAACAATCTCCAATGTTTATTGACGAATTGAAGGACAATCAATATGTTGTTGTTGTTGTTGTTGTTTTAGTTTTAAGGGCGTGTGTTATTCAATTATGAATATTTACATGCATAATAATAATCTAGACATGTAGTCTACATTTCATGCGTACATTACGTACTTACTGCTGTTAATTTAAAAGAGACCTTTAATAAAGAATAACTTAATCATTGTTAGATAAACTCTAATAGGAAGTATTACACGGTAAAACCTGAACATCGTTGAGGACCAAAAAAATCTAGGTTTATTTCTGACAATCTAATGCCCAATGATAGCCTTGAACCTCCCAAATTCAGGAATTGTGTTTATCATACTGTAAATAACATTATAATGTTTACTCCTGTCGGAAATGTTTTTGCGGTAGAAACTTTAGAGGCCATTTTCATTCTATCTTAAACAATCGCATTTCTTCTGCTGACCTTGTCCTAAATGGGGCCATAACTGCAGGGAGTTGTTTTATTGTAAAAATTGGATTTTTATTCCTTTCATCTTTTCTTTGCGGTAGAAAATAGTGGTCATTATCATTCTTACTTGGACAATCGTGTTCTTCTGCAGGCCCTGTTCCAATGGGGTTAAAGGTGCAGGTCAGCGGTCTATCTCCAGACGCTGCGCGGTACAGGTAGGATTCGTCAGAACCGGTCCCGTAGACCACAGCACGAAACCTGGGATAGAATGCTTGACCCTCTGTGGTGGCCATCTGTTGACTTCGCAGAAGATATGAGCCGCCACTGACCACTGCCCACTGTGAGCACATCATTGTCCCGTCCAGTATCTCCATAGTGTAGTTCTCCATCCATGTCACCTGTTTTAATATACAAAAGCTCTTACGAAGATATAAATTCTATGGAAAGGTAGGCATCATTATGTGTACATTAAGTAATGTTCATTTCATAAATGTTAGGAATGGGAGTGCATTCTTAGGAGTCAGATTAAGGATCACCTTTAAATTAAATTGGAATCCACTCTTAAAAGAGTAATTCAACCACTACTTTGGAGTGAATTCCACTAAATCTAGAGTGTATTCAACTCCAAACAAAGTGATATCTAGTACGACTCCAAAATGTTGATGTCCATTCCTCTGACCGTAGACACTACCAAAAGGTCGAGGTTTGGAAGAAAGAAAAGTGTGTTTATTTTCTTCCCAACATGACTGAAACGTTTAGTCAAAGAATATCATCTAACTGATCGAAGCGTTGTTAAACCTAAATATATATGCCATTGTTTTTTTTTTTTCTTATTCGAAGAATTGTTTAATGGATGGATACATAAGCCAAAGAAATAGTTCAAGATAGTGATCCCTATTTTTGTAATTTTGAATCTCTTACGAATTGTTTACTTTTTTTCTCTGTTGATTACTAACATAAAGTGGCTTGCAATATTAATATTTTGATAAGTCTTTTCTTCAAGTAAGGACAAATTTCTATCATTTCCTATAATACAAACAGACAAAACTTACCGACAACGGTTGGAAGTCTTTGAAGATGGAGATGTTTTGGAGGTATTTGCATTCTGCCGTCAGTTCGAGATGAATGCTATCAATATGCGTGGACTCTCCAGCAAAGTCATAAACCGGGAAAGTTGCCTCCAAAACATACTGCTCAATCGGCGGAACCCGAATCATTGATGGGTCACTATTATCAGTTCCATCACTTGTTTTTCCTTTAGGATACTGCATAACTGTTATCGGTTTGTCAGAAGAGACAAACTCCATGGTCTGAGATGGAATATCTATTGTCCGAAATTCACCCATGTTCAGCCTCAGAACTGTGTCGTTATAGAGGACAGTGGTTCGATCGCGACCTGCTACAACTTGGAAAACATAACCCGAACCACGACTGACAAAAGGGCTCAGCAGGAACTTCTTTCCCCATGATGGGAACGGAGCTAGTTGTTCAGCTATATGGTCACAGTACTTAACACCTTCAGGGACGTTCGAACATTTCGCTCCTGCGCCTACAGCGATGGGCGCGTTTGTGATGATTCTCGTCCCAGTGATGCCTGTAAACTGCGGAAGGAGCTGTATTGATTCAAATAGACCAAGGCTATATCGAAACACGTCACCAGAATTGAACATCTCGTTAACAAAATGCACCGCAGAGGTCATATGAATTTCGATTGAGACATCCTCTCCAAGCGACGATATTGTCACAACACCGCTATGGGTCGAAGTTATTGTTGCTATGAAATATTCCTGGCCTAAATTCTCTGAGGGCATCACGGTAAACACATTCGAAGTGTATGGTTCAAGATTATAGTGAACAACAGTAATGGCTTTGTCGGAGGCCACATAAACTGTAGAATCAATGGGACCTGCAGTATTTGGGTGAATTAGATCGATCGGTAACAAGTAATTTAGGGGACCTGACCCCGGTGATAGCGTGATTTGTCTCTCGAAAGATCTTCCAGGAAATGATATCCGCACGGTGGTTGGTTCATCTGTAGTTCCTTGAAGGATCATACCGATGGAATGCATGGTATAATTCGGATGATTCGGCATTGGGGCAAAGACGAACTCTGTCCCACTTTGTGCACTAACAGAGGATGGGACAAACGCCGTCGTAGCTGCAAATTTTATTTCACATGATAATGATCTTTTGTTTTGTAGTCGGGTATTATATTAACTTACTATCAAGTGTAAATGCTTCTTACTATACATGTACATATATTTATGTGTAAGTATATACAGCATTTTAAGTTTCCTCTCGCCATGTGTACGCCTGTATAAGTTTGTTTTACCCGCAACTACTATCCATACAGATGGAGCAAGGTGAGTTAATTTCCTAAGCGGGGGGGGGGGGGGGGGAGTTGAATCACTTGGAAAACGATGTGGTCATACGATATGGACACAGTATGTTTACATTTATAATACGATATAGACATAGCGTGTTCACATTGTAAAACGATATGGACGCAGTGTGCTTTAATACGACATAGTATGTTCACATTGTCGAGACATTTAGGACTTTTAGATTCTGGTGGACTGCTACATGTGACGTACTTTTAAGGCACTCCTAATGAACCGGCAGAAGAATAACAATTTTAATCATATAACATATCATTCGCTTCTCTTCTCTGACTCTCAAGTGTTAGGTGTTCCCTTAATTTCCTCTTAAAATGAGCAAAGTTTTCTATTTCCTTTATATCATTATGAAGGGAATTCCAATGTGTTATGGCATTGTAATAAAACGAATTCTAAGCGAGGACTACAGAGGGATCAATAAAGAGCTCTCGCGAACCCAATTAGGGAAGTGTTATAACTTTAATAATATAATTATTTTCCCTTGGTCACGTTTTGCGTGAGTAGATCATAATTGTACTATATCCACCATTCAGACAGAATGAATTGAATGTGTATTTTCTCTATATTATCTTGTGTTCTATAATACAGGCTTGAATAGAAACACACTAATAAATATTTGAATTTCTCTATTACTTGACTGAGCAGTGTTTTTTTTTTTGTACAGTTTAATAATTGTAATAGATCCCTAGGTTTCCGTGACAATAAGATTCCTGTCCTGAAAGGCATCTAATGGAGTGATTGGAGCAATGCAATGGAAAAGGAAATGTAAAACATAATTTGTATAGTTTTTATTATACTAATTAAGAATTCGTAAATCAATTACTTAAATTGGATTGTGTTTTAAAAATTTGCATTGAATGGGTATCTACCGTGTCCTTTTTTTTCGGAGGGGCATCGCACAATCAATCTACATGAAAGTATCAAACTCTCTCGACAATATAATTCTAGGAAACAGCCAAAGCTGGTACAATTTTTTTAAACTAAATACCGAAAAGGAAATATTTATTTACCGAACAGGATGAAAAGAAGACAATTGAAGCAGACAGGTGCTCTGAACGCCATATCTAAATGGAAAGATATTTGAATGAGAAATTACTTCGGAGAGAATGCTGCTACGATATGATAAAACTTCCTTAAATTTCAGGAATTTGGCGTTAACTTAACGATATTGACGAGTAGTAGTGTCAATGCCAGGTCGATGCTGCGAAAGAATGATCCCTCCGTTAATAAACGATCATGTGACTATGAACGAACACTGTTCTCAACCGTCATAAAAGAATGTAAAAATACTGTAACTCACTATTCTTTCGCAGTCGATTGGACGAAATATGAAATAATTTACAAATGAACACTTAACCGGAGAAACATGAAACTTAGAAACTTAACCGAACAAATATTGTTAAGAGGAATTGACGCTCTCAACTATTCAGTATCTTGACAAAAGCCTCTTCAATTATCTGAAGAGGCTCAGAGTGGTTTGATATGGTCATTTGTATTGATCAAAGGAACCTCGATGGCAAGTCATTGAGTTTCGCGTACGGTTTCCTTTTATTCCCGCGTCACACTGTCCCGAAGTTGACATAAGATGGACACTCGATGAAGGAAATTTGAACTTCGCACGAAGATGGCCCCGAACTTGGTCAACAGCCAACCAACAGCCGAAGCAAGTACGATGCCTACAGAAGGGTCACACGATGGCACCTGAACCACTCACGAAGGCAACACGAAGATGTGGATTTGTAATAAGAAGTGTACCCGCAGGCCACAAAATGGATACACGACGTTGTATTGAGAGTACGATGCGTTCCAACTAGGTCACTAGCGAGCTTTCGATTTTAGGCACCCGACGTCGGCTACTACGCGTGACGTCATATTTATCCCCTGCGCATGCGTGAGCTTCTGGGCCCACGTTCCCTTCCAAATCATCCGACGGGAGTCGGGGGCAATTTCCGTGATTCGCCGTCGCTGTGAAAACGTCAACGTGAGTGTAGTTTCATCACCTTCTTTTATGTTTTAGGGAATTTAATCACCTAAATAAAAGAAATAGAAATAGATTTCTTTCCTACCTTGTCTCGTAGAAACACCTGTTAAGTACAGATACTTGGAACATATAATGGGCCGTATGCATAAAAAGTAGCAATTGCTTGTGCTAGCCTTTTACTTGAATCCGTATGCATAAACATAAGCAATTGCTTGCAAGCAAATGCTTTTGCTAGCAAGCACAAGCAATTGCTTGATGTCCTCAAGCAATTGCTTAAAGATCAAGCAATTGCTTAAAAACGTATGCATAAAACGAACCTTTTGCTTGTTCTTATAAGCAATTGCTTACGTTTTTTCAAGCTCCGTCATAGCAGCTTGAGCTCTTGCTTAATCGGGACGTTCGCGGTTAAGCATCATGTTTATGCTCGTTAGAGAAAAACCAAAGTTGTACAGGAGTAGAATAAATCGAGAAAAAATTGTTCCCGAGACCTATCGGAAACTATTCCGTTTCGACAAAGAGAACGTTGAGTGGTTAGCACACAGGTTCATACCTGAACATGATAAAAAACGGGGAGGATGTCTGACAACGGTGGAGAGCATGGAGGCTACCCCACACGCATGACATTTGAATACACTACTAGTATGCGAAACCCGCCTTTGTTCTCCCATGAATGATGTTCGCACCGGCGTGACGTCGCTATTGTTGAGATCGTAAGCAATTGCTTGCTGGAGGCAAGCAAAAGGTTTGAGCACAAGCAAAATGTTATGCATACGGATTTAAGCAATTGCTTGAGCTTGATCTTTTGCTTGACAAGCAATTGCTTGTGCTTGAAGCAATTGCTTGCAAGCAATTGCTACTTTTTATGCATACGGCCCATTATATCACAAGTAGTAGTTCAAATATTGCACAGCACCCGTAGAAAGAATATGTAAGACCATGTACAAAATAATGACGCTTCTTCGCGAATTAAGTAAAGACGAAGAAACTTATATAATCTCTATAAAGTAGGACTCAGAGCCGAGTAGAGAAACTAGCGAAGAAATAGGACAAGAATTAAGATGAAGCTGAATTAGCTTTGCTGTAGATCGACTCTCTAGAATACGTGTGCTATATATGAACAGCTCAGGAGAAGTGATAAAAATAGGTGTGGCAAATAAAGCAAGCAAGTGTAATGTGCCTGGACACAGGCGTGTACGCAGGGGGGTGTTTTGGGGGTTAACCCCCCCCCCCTTGGCATTTTTTATGTGTGTATTTTTAAGAAAACCCCCCTAAAACCCCCCTTCGTTTTGTTTAAACCCCCCTTGAAAAAATCCTGCGTACGCCCCTGCCTGTACAGTATAAGCTATACCAGTACATCAGATTGTTGCACATCCCAACCCATAGGGTGTGGAATGTGCTTGCCAGAATAAGTATGTGTGGCACTCTAGTATTGTAACAGGTGTCACTAAAGAAATGAATGACAATGGAATAAAAGGCTAGACTTCAAGCAACACAATAAAGACAAGACAATATCTACAAATGCAGGTCAAGTCACTACAGTAGCTCCCCTCTAGATTTGTTATCGAATGAAAAGTAGCAACAAAGCGATGAGGAAATATAGACCTACATGTATGTTGACTTGAAAATACGAAAACAAGGCAATACTGTTGAAACACAGTAAGTTTAATATGCTTCACCCGACTTCGAAAAAGTCCACAAACCTCACTGGCCACCTAACCTGCCGACCATACCTGGTCTTTCGAATCTCGGGAGTGTTCTGCTTCAAAGCAGGATCCAATGCCAACGATGCAGGATCCGATGCTATCGGTGCAGGATCCGACGCTAAGGTTGCAGGATCCGATGCTAAGGATGCAGGATCCAATGCTAAGTCTGCGGAGTTGGATTGCCGAGGGACTTGGATAGGTGGATCTTGATCCTTTGTAGATTGAGCAGGGAGATCTTGCTCAATGAAAGCTGGTTTAAGTCTCTCAACACTGACAGTTTCACGTTTACCATTGTAATCAATAGTAAAAAAAAAAACTTGTCAGAGCGTTGAATGACTCGAAAGGCCCCCTGTAAGGAGGTTTAAGGGGCCCCTTGACTGCATCAACCCTCAAAAAGAAGGTTGCGTGTTCGGATCACGTCGGGGTCACCAGTTTAGGGAATTTAATCACCTAAATAAAAGAAATAGAAATAGATTTCTTTCCTACCTTGTCTCGTAGAAACATTAGAAATTCTATAAAGTAATAAGGCCTCAGAACCGAGTAGAGAAACAAGCGAAGAAATAGGACAAGAATTAAGATGAAGCTGAATT